CATTATACAGTAGGCTCTCACCAATAACGTTTAATAGGTGCCTGAAAAACACTGTTATTAGCGAAAACATTATTTGTGTGACATTAAAATACATGTAAAAAGGGTTTATTGGTGCCGCCGCCACAAGAATTTCACCCATTTTTTCCCCTTGAAGCCCTCCTAACAGTTTTTGTTAGCTGAAATAAAAAGAATTGCTATTCAATCATCAAAATAAAGAGTTTGAGTAATATAACACTTAGCTTGGGGAGTTTTTGAGGTGCTTGGTGTGATGATTGCTCCGTATCTGAGGGCCGCTAACACTTGCACTGTCTTTCATTCTACAAGCTTACCATTTCACAAGAAAATGCTGTTATCACTAACAACCTGTTTCTATTGCATTTATCATTCATAGCTCGCCTTGCATTTCCATCACTACCGAAATATTTTTAGCCAGCACAATACTCTTCTTGGTCTCCTCTAAGTTCCTCTTAATATTTCACACTGTAGACTCAGGACAGTTCAATTTCCTCACTTTAAAAGTTCCCAGTCATTCAGGTGGCAAATCACTCCCTCCACCACCTCCCCTAGCCCCCACAGGCAAAAATGCGGAAGCCATTATTGATCACTGACCCTAACAACCACTGGTTATAGTGGCGAAAATCTCACACGTGGGCGCAGCGCTGTATTCCACTGAGCGTGTGTGAGAGTGAGGCGGAGTGGTCAACTATGTCATCATTGATGCGCTCGGACGCTTCCCGCGAAATTTCCGTTATTCAAGAGAATCCAGACGTTATCGAAAATGGGCATCTAATGTAACTTACCGTTATTGTGGAAGTCGTTATTGGCGAGAGCCTATTGTGTGTGTGTGTGTGTGTGTGTGTATATATATATATATATATATATATATATATATATATATATATATATATATATATATATATATATATATATATATATATATATATATATATATATATATATATATATATATATATGTAGGTCTTGTGATCAGGTATATGCTGATAGCCTAGGGAAAAAGCACTAAGTTCCCAGCGTTAGGTGTAATTCACATCTTCAGGGTGAGTGCCTGCAGTCTGTGCTCACCCTGAGATGTGTAACAGAGACTATATATATATATATATATATATATATATATATATATATATATATATATATATATATATATATATATATATATATATATATATATATATATATATACACAGTATATATATATATATATATAGTATATATACACACACACACACAAGGTCTGAAAAAAAAAAGACAAACTGTAACTCTTTTTATTTACCAAATTAAGAAAATCAACTGTGATTGCCTTCAAAATAGTTCCCTTCTGAGTTGACACAGCTGTATACAATGCTCTGCCGTTTTTGCTTTCACCTCTTCTACGGACAAAAAATTGGTTCCTTTGAGCACGGACTTGATCTTTGGTAAGAGGTAGAAGTTGCAGGGAGCCAGGTCTGGCAAATAGGATGGGTGCTCAAGCAGTGATGTTTTTATTGGCTAAAAATTGCTTCACAGACAAAGATTTGTGGGCTGGTGCACTGTTCACCTGACAGCATTTTTTTGGAACCATTTTTGCACAAACCTTTTTCATGTTAAATTCTTCTGTTAGAATGCGTCGAACACTTTCCCTGTCTAAATTAACTTTCTCGGCTATTGCTCGAACACCCATCCTACGTTTTTATTCAAATCACATCTCGCACTTTTTCAATGTTGTCATCGGTAACTGCTGTACGTGGACGACCTGGGCGGTCATCATCTTTCACGGTTTCTCTGCCTTCCGAAAATCGTTTGCCATTCAAAAACGCGTGCACGAGACATGCAATCTTCACCGTAAGCCTCAGTCAATAATTGAAAAGTTTCCGTCGCAGATGTTAACTCGTTCAGTTTTGCAGTATGACATTTTCCGACCGAGCGTAAGAACATGTCTATACTTCAACAAGCCTTGTCACACTGTGACAGGTTAGAACATTTTTTTTTTTTTTACGGGAATTAGCCCACCTGGGCACAGGTCAAATGACCCACAACGGAACCTGAGGGCAAAAAAAAAAAAAGTCTTTGTCCCTCCCCTCCCACTCTTGGTTCCTGAGGATAATATTATAGGAGTAACAACTAATATATATATATATATCATATACAGTATGAGAAAAATCAGGTATCCTTATTTCGATACTGTACAGTACAATAGTACAGTACAGTATGTGACAATTTTCTCAGCATGGGACTTGGGGTTTGGTGGTTCAATAGTGGGTTTAGACCTAGCCACAGACAACTTTTGGCAGCTAGAATGATAGATATTGCAACTACAGGTACTGAACACTCACTCTGCTCGAAAAGGTATCTTTAAGGATGGGTCCGATGAATTTCAAAATGAACACGGTGACTCCTGTTTGTTGTCTTGGTGGGGTTGTTTAAATCATTTGTCTGTTCTGCAATATTGTCTCATACAAAATAAAAAAGATACTTTTTGGAGCGAGTGTACATGGGTTGCACAAAATGGAACTTGAGATTCAAAACTATGACACAGTATCTGAATTCCGCCCACACACAATTTGGAAAATGTAGTATTAAACTAAACTCCTGCATCACAGCTTCTGATACAAATCAATTACATAAAAATTTGTTTTAATTATAAAATATAACAATGAGCCAAATCCACCATCCTCCACAGCTAAAACAGTCAAGTGAGTATTTATTTCTGAACATCAAAAGCAGTGAATCAAATACTGTAAAGTTCAGTTTATTATGAAATTGAATACCGGTAGATACTGTAATAAAATTATCAAGAAAACAAAACAAGAATTAAAATCATAGCTGCACTGAAAAGTTAACCTAACGGACAAACTTGTGGATGTGTGATGGAGACGACAAGGTAGTGTGATGAGGTTTTTTGAATCCCGAAGATGAAGTTTAGTGAAATACAGGTGTTAACTCAATTAGAAAATAATAATAATTAAATAAATAAAAAATTCAGTGTTCATTATATATATATATATATATATATATATATATATATATATATATATATATATATATATATATATATATATATATATATATATATATATATATATATATATATATATATATATATATATATATATATATATATATATATATATATATATATATATATATATATATATATATATATATACTGTATATCAAAGATTTATCTTATCCACATTTTTCATTGTGGATATATATATATATATATATATATATATATATATATATTTATTTCATGTAAATCCTAATGGCGTGGATAAGATAAATCTTGATAAAATCACTGCAGGAAAATGGAAACAACGAATTACCTTAACTTCGTCTTTATTCAAGACATCTTCAGAGCAACTGGATTACATGGACAGAGGCTTAAATATATTTATAAGCTGTTGGCCATATTTAAGCCTCTAATAATTATATATATATATATATATATATATATATATATATATATATATATATATATATATATATATATATATATATATATATATATATTATATATATATATATATACACACACACACTGTATGTTAAAAATAAATAAATAAAAATCTTCCTGAACAATTGAGAAAAAACTATAAAATTAACTAACACAGCCAAGGTCTTAAAAAAATTGGTAACCATAAACTATTTATAACAAGAGCCACCAGTAACAATAAATCACTACACAACTTAACAATTAAAACTGTACGATCATTTTAGATACCCCGGTAGATAAGATTTGGTTTGTTTCTTTTTTTTCTTGTGTGATAAATAGTTTATGTTCATCTTATTTATATGACCACACCATTTTTATTTAAGTAAATTTCACCTGATTTTCATATGTTTTTTGCTCTTCCTATACTGTTCTGGCAAAAAGAATTGTTTTTTCTGTTGTTTTAAATATATGTACTGCAAGATTATTGTAAGGAAATTCTGCTAAATTACTATACTGTATCACTAAAGAGAACCATAATTTACGTCTTGAATTTAGACACAGTACAGGTTTATAGCTTCAAGGTTTTATGTATGGAGGTTGGTGGGCTAGTCCAGAAGGCTCTCAGTCATAACAGTGATGGCTTTCTGAGGTTATACTGTGTGTATACTCTCTCTCTCTCTCTCTCTCTATAATATATATATATATGTGTGTGTGTATGTTTGTGTGTGTGTGTGTTCATATCATGTACATATAGTTTATTTATATATACATTAAAAAGATGCATATACAGCACACAATCATAGTTTAGGCAACACACATGAGTTGGGAGCTGAAGAGACTGAGCATTATCCTATTAAATTATACTGATACACAAGATACTGACATTATTTGGTGCAATTGAGGACATGCGCCATATTATTAATTATGACTCTGTTGTTCTTATGTGAATGTATAGAATTAACAAGCCTAAATGGGATACTACCTAAGGCTCAAAATCACTGAGCACATCAAAATTCATTTTTCAGAAGACAACAGTTTGTACTTTTACTCCCTGATGGCTTGCAAACTACAAGACAGCAGACACCTTCCTCAATTGCCAATCAGCAATGTCCAACCTTGATGATTTTCTATATGACAACTTGGTTTCTTCCCATAGAGCATGATGTCGACCTTCCACAAGCCAAATTTATAATCTAATTAAGTTCAACAACACAAGTCCAGAAATAATAATCATGCTTCCTCTTTGCTATCACTTACTCAAAATTGGTCCAAATCTTCAGAGCAACCTGGTAATTACCAATCCCCTCTACATGTCTAACTTCAAAGATGTTAATGACAAAAAGGCCTCGGATGAGAGAAGAAAAGCTGGACTCAGAAGTACTGCAGGATTCAATCCTCATTATTTAAGAGGTCACTATAATTTAGCTTTAGATAAAGTGGTTATATTCATGTTAACTGAACTATTGTTCTCCAAGTACATAATTATGTGGGATTAAAAAAATATATTCAAAGGCCAAACAATCAAAGTAAATCATGGAAATCTGGAGAAGGAAATCAAAAGAATGAATAGTATCATACTTTAAAAATCATGTATAAAACCTGCAGACAGCATATCACAGCAGAGATACGAGATTTCATAAAGTAGCTGGTGCCATTATACAAACTTGTACATACTTTTGACAACTATACATTAAAATTTTCTTTAAAATCTGACAACTTGTACGTATCAAATAAGTAAGAGCAAATGATCAGTCAACCTACAACCATTTTTCACTCGGGAAGCTAGTCAGTTCACCCCTCAATTTTCTAGCGAAAAAAAGATAAGAAAAATAAATAAATAATTGGTACAATTACCAACATCAGATGAAAAGCTAAGACCAAGTTGAACCTTTAGTGTGCCAGTTTCATCAGCATTCAGACTGTTGTATACATTAGGGAAAATTAATTATTCTAAAAACAAATTTACAGTAACAATAAAACGAGGATTGATGTTGAAATCCCACTTTATGGCAAAGCCCAACACCAAGTGACTCGTGTTATATATTCAATTCCCTAAGTTCATGGGCTGAAATCCAAAACACTTTTAGATCTCAGTAGGTGGAACTAATTCATCTATTAATTGCACCATCAAGTTTCTGAAAATGAGAACTTTATAGGCTACTGTCACCATCTTAAAAAAGAAAACCATGAATTACAATATAAATCACACCCGTACAAACATTGCCTTACCAACCATACTGAAAGTCCGAGAGGAAGTTCCATTCAGTTGCAGCCAATATCCACATTAAGAGCATTGGAAATTTACTAAGTGCCCTACAAATCAAAATCTAGCTAAAAAATGGAAGGAGGTGACAATATAAATGCTCCAACTGCTAATATGATACACACCCCACAAGAGAAGTTAACCAAACTGCAAAAATAGAAAGATACAATGAAAACTAACCTCATGAACTCACTATTTTCTGCACAGCTCTACACTCCCCATACTGGACATCAGAGAAACCGAGGTCTACCAAGTCTATGATGATCCATTACCTCTTTGGGACTACACAAGTCCCTGAAAAAAGGTTATCCAAATACGGTAAGTGATTCCCCACTCTCAAGTCAAGGTAGTGTGAGTTAGCTGAAAGAATATTCTGATCTACACTTTAATGATCTCTAATAAATTTAATGCACTGAGAATAAAAGAGTAATTTCCCATAAAGACTCCCTAAAGACTCCACACTATTTAATGAATATAAAGTCATTCTGGACACATTTCCATGATAAAGTGTGTTAAGTATAAACTAATTCTAAAAGGTAAACATTAAAATATAGCACCACATGACCACACTCCCAATAGTTTGGCATACTAGAAATTGAAATGTTACACAGACTAGGTATTCAGCCAGACCAACAAGGATGGGAAAAGCAGTGAATGTGATTCCTGATACGAGTTACTATACAAAGACAACACAATGAAAACTTTCCAACAATTTATGACCATTTTCCACATTTGTGTGGGTTAGCCATGATTATCTGATGGCATGGTGCTCCAGTCACCATCCAGTAAGTTTGAAGTATTACAACTGGATGCCCTTACTATCACCCACTTTCACAAAGCAGCAACTGGTATTGTATCTAGGACTCCTAAGTTCACTCTTAACTGGCAATGGATATAAAACTTTAACCCCAGCCCTCATTTCTTAACAGTATATATACAGTATGAAACAGCCTATAAATTTCCCCAATGTGGCCATTAGAAAAGATCAACCAACTAGGAAGAAAGAAGTGTTGAAAACAAACTAAAAAGAATAGAATTATCAGAAACATGGAGAATAGTTTTTCAGCAGAGCCCAGCCTAAACAGAAACAAGTTTATGTGCCCACCAGGATGACACTAGAAAAAGGCAGAGGATAGGAGGCCAAGAGAGATAATTTTCAGGTTGGTCACATATCCCTCTCACAAAAAATCTGCCTATGTAAATGTAATGTGAGATCAAAGGTGATCCCTTGAATTTGGTAATCCTGTCCTCCCACTGATCTTCTACCATTATCCCTGGATAACTAAACTATAGATGAAAAGGATTCTAAACATATCAAGTGTTTATGTACAAAGATGAATGTTAAATTACTGTAAATAGTGAGCACCTACATTTAAAAAAAAACAAAAATCATGAAACATTGTGAGTAACAAAACAAAAAGGTGAGAAGAAAAAGTACTGCCTTTGATTATGACTCCAAGCTGTCTGTTATACTGTAGCAATAATTCCCAACCTGAGGAAAGAGTACCACTTGTGGTACATAAGGGTACATATGGTTGTAAAAAATTCATGTTCACTCAAGAAAAACAGATTTAGAAGGTACATAAAGTGGATAACACCACTTTAAAAAGTTGGGAAAATTGCATAATGGGCCCAAGCTGCAGCACGTGATGGAGTCAAAGATTTCAATAATTCTCCACATGAGTGGTGATAAAGCAAAGCAATTTTAATGATAAATATTTTATAATGGGGGAAGCACCATCTATAACACAGAATTAATAACATCAGTAAAATGCCATGAGTGTACTGTGTCTAAGATTTAGACTGAGCAAAGTTGTCTTCTCTTCTTGCTAGTGGGACAGTTGGCAATGCACAGCTCTGTTAAACCCTTGATTGGCCAGTTCTACTGTGAATGGCCTCTGCCCGAGTCAAGTGGGTTATTAGAGCATAGTTACATCTACCTTTAAATACTGTACTGAACACATTACCTAGTGGAGTCCATTAAACTAACAACAAAATATATCTATAACGTGTGTGCACACAGTAAGCCGTACCATCCAAAACTCAGACAAGTTTCCTTTGGAAGACTTAATTACCAACTCCTGTCCCCATTTCTAACTGAGAATCCAAAGGGGATATAATCAATTCCAACACTTTTCACCTTTAAGAAACTTTTCATAATGCTGGGACAAAGGAATGGGAATGAGCAAATTTGCAATCCTGGTCCAAACCTATCAGAAAGTAAACAGAACGAGAAGAAAACCTAACACCCTAATGTCTGTGGTGTGAGTGACTTTTGAAATGATAAACTTATGGACCACATTACCGGAAGTGTACTGAATTTGTTTTGCAAAAATTCACCAAAGCAATGGCTACTTTACAGTACAGTATATGAAGTTCCTAACTTAGGAATCTTAAGCCTTCAAATTCTGAAAAGGCCCACCATTGTCGTTAACAGCCTATGCCCTTGTTCCAGTCTTTCTGTAGAGATATACTGTACTAGGAAGATAAAAACACAAGCCTTGATACACACAACACTCAATGAAAACTGATACTATAGAATGCTAAATTCCAACCTTTTTTAAACCATGTTACAGACAGCACCAGGTTACACTAAGAAGGAAGAGGTGATTCACTAAACCCAGGGAATAACCTCAAAACAAAAATATAAGGCCTAAATGTGGAACTAAATAATCTGAACTACATTAGCTCGGTATGACGACATAAATATCAGTGTTCAATATAACACAGAAATAAAGCCTCATATTCAAGAAATTGTACTCTTACAACAGTAACAACAGATGAAGGCATAAACATACTGCCATATCTATCACTGAACAAAAGGTAATGTGTTGTGCTTAAAGTTTCTCAACTCATTTTAATATAATGATGCCCTTAGCACTGCCTCCTCACTCTGTGCAGCGCTAAGCTCAGTTTTGTAGATGGATAATTAGTTTATAACTAAGTATTCTCACGGAACAACTAAACCCAGCTATCACCTTCCGAGGAGTTACTCTATTAACTATTACATATCCTATGAGGGCAAAACACCTAAAACAATATCTTACGCAGGTATATTTGTTCCTAATAGAGAAAACCCAGTGAACCCTACAATGTTTCATCAAAATAAAAGTTCTGTCCATTCTGTTCCATGTCATGTCAAAGAAAATCCTGCCTGAGAACAAGCCTCAAAACCTGGTAAAAAAAAAAAACACTGCCTACATGGTTGACTGAGCTACTGGTTGTGGTATCAGGTTATTACTTGAATACAACCTAGGTTATGCTGGTCCTACTGAAACCAATATGCCAGCTTAGACCCAAAGTGGAACTATTAACAAATATACACAACCCTAATAGCACACCCAACATTGGATCATCAGCAATAGCAAGCAACAATTACAACATGATGTAATGAAGATTACTTGCTTTTAATAGTAATAAAACACTGAGAATTGTGTGGACTGGCCTAAAACAACATCACATGTGCAGAAGTTCAAACATTTAAGACCTTATTTGAGAAATGCTAGCTACCCAGATAATGATATGTGCAGAAGCATGAGTGGCTGGAAATAAATATAGTTGATACCTGAAATTCCAATATGGCCGATTAAGTGACAGGGAAGGTGTGTGAACGTTAACATGATGTCACGACACGTTACTTTTGCATTAAATGGCGACTGTTGATTCTAAAGTTACCATTTCAATACATGGTTGTCGGTGAAAGGTGCAACTTATTCATGAATTATTTCAAGCCACTAAAATCAGAGGATGTCTTGGGGGCTTCAACCCATAGAATTAGTGCGTATATTACTCGAGTCGCTTTGAAGAGCACTAGGCCATAAGTACTCCTTTCAACTGTGATACATAAGACTAAATTACAGCGGTTAACATCTTAAAATACTTTAAAAAGGAGTGTACTCCCAAAGTTTCTCGCAGTCTAACCATTAATATAATTACGTCAATTATCAAGCAGATAAAAATTTTTTGAGCTTATGGTATCAAAATTACATAAAGTACTGAGGGAGAAACTGGAAGCATTGTTGTATCATGCATAGCTGAATACATACAAAATATCTCCAAACCTTGTACATAATGTTTGAGTTCACCGGTTTGCTTCATATATTAATAAAAAATAAAAAATAGTCATCATTTGAAAGATGCACTTCACTTTAATATAAACCTTAAGTTTAGAATAAGGCTGACAACATACTCTGATCAGGAAGAATTTGACCAAAAAGCACATTAAACTGAGTGCCATCCACTAGCATTCACTGCAAGGAATATAAAATCAGGTGCCATCATCAAAGATGTATTCGTTTTACCAAAGGCTCAGCAACTTACGTTTCATCTCAAAGTTTGGTAATTTTGCTAACAGCCATTTTAATTTAATTTTTTTTTGAGAAATAATAATGAAAAGCACACAAAAATCTTCCTCCTAGCTATAGAATAAGAGGTTTATAATTCTATTTTGCACATTGCATAACTTAATGTGATGTCTTCAAACAGTAAAGAACACTACCCATCTATCAGTTATACTGTATTCCATTCTAAAATAGATTGCGAGGATACTTTTACAAATTTACACAAGAGAAAAAAGCGTACAATGCTAGCGAAAACATGTTAATTGAAACCTCATGTTAACAAGATAAAAAATTTGAATAAAGTTGGGGAATAAAAAAATAAGAACACACACAAAGGACTTGAGTATAAAATCCCATTTCACAGCTGAAGGGAAGAGACAAATAAACTATAAGATTACTTTGCCAGAACATCCCCTTAGCAGAGCTTGTCTGTGGTGGGGCTACCTGTGTTCTAAGGCAAGAACACCATTCTGTCCAATAGTATAAATACTGCACAGGGTAGGTGCAAAATTACCTATTTGCCCAGGTAAATCAGGGTTTACAAACTAAGTTCCAACTTCAAGTAATGTGTCAAAAAGTGAGTGAGTCAAGAGGTAAACTAAGGCAAACCCTGGAGCTGAGTTGCCCGACTTGAAATCTGCATTCTTAAATTTTAATTCCAAACTACTTTTCTCATATTTTCCTGCTATACTGTATAAGGAAACCCACCGATGGAGTGAAGGAGAGGTTCCAGGGTTAGGAAAGATATGAACCCAAGTAGACCAGTTATGAGTTGTATCTCTTTTAAGTTGAAAGATGCACGAGTACTTTTATGGCATTGAGATCTAAAAGTCAAGAGCATCAAACCAAACCTAAAAGATTCTGAAGGGAGCTAATTCCTCCTCCTGAATGGGAAAAAACCTAGTATTTTGGTGAATTATTAAATAAACGACTGGTGTTTAGGGAAACTGAGCAAAAGAAACCTGCTGCTGAACAATCACATAAGTAAACTAAATATGGCTGCTATAGATAGCTTCCTGATTATGAGGCATCAAGTCAAAAAGAAGTCATGATACTCAATACAGCAACCCCTCTAGTCTATACTGTATTATGGAAGACTTTATCTAAACAATCCTTATAATGCATCATGTGTTTTCACTGTAATTTGTAATACCATAATTGTCCTCGGGGCTATGTAACAATTATGGTACTGTACAATAACTTATATAATTACCATACATATACAGGATTACGAAATTATTTAGCCCCTGTAAATAAAAAATTACTGAACGTATTAAAAGTAAGTCAGAAGTGAGAGGATTGACAGTAATATCCCTTAGAAAGAATAAGGAGCCTTGACAATCATACTATAGATATAAGCCCGACTGGCTACGTGCTTAGACTGATGGTCTATGAGCAATGATTGTTGATAAAATCAGTTACCAACTGTAAGTAATCCTGAACTTCTTTAACTAGAAACATCACTTTCTTTCTAAGCCTTGAAATGAGTTTCCTTTGGCAGAAAACTGGGAGTCTGTTTGTTCTATAAAACCTTTAGACTCAGCCTGAGGCTAGCACACAACAATTAGGGACCTAAAACAAGAATCATCTTACCTCGACTTTAAGCATGAAGCTCAAACACCCTTCAGCCATTGGTGAGACAGGAGGAAAGTAAAGAAATGTCAGTCTGAACATTTGATGATGCAGTAGAATAGAATGGACAGGCACTCAATGGCTCAAAACATAACTTCCAAAGTCATTAAGACCATCCTTGTCCCTGGAGGCCCTATTTCTATGATACGTAATTCTTGTTCAGTCAGGAAAAATTCATGTAATATGATAAAAGTAATGAACACATAAGTTTTATGTGCTTAAGTAATGCACAACACTTAAGAACATTGCCCATAAAAAAACTTAACAGCTCCCCAATGAACATACCTGCTTCGAGTCAATTACAGTTGCCGTCAAGTGGTCTGAATGATTAAAATACTGTATGACTAAATCATTCTAAGTGGAACATAAGAATCACTAGAATGAATATACAGGTAGTGCATACAAACCTGATTTTCCTTAAGGTGGGATAACCAGTGCAAGCTTCCAAAATTATCTTTCCTAAAATCTAATTCTATACATCCCCCAAGGGAACTGAAACATCCTTTTGTGGCCTTAAGCAAGCTACTAGGCAATGGTGGCTTTGCATACCAGTTCACCAGGAAGTCATCATTCAGCAAATGTTGATACAGTGCAAAACATGTCTAGAATGTATGCCAAACCCTGAGAAGTATCCAAAATGTGTAATAGGAAGTACCAGACTGCCATAATACAAAAGCAAGTCAGGAAGACAACTGTTGGCATAACTAGGTGAATGGAATAGAAAGGGTTATCACTTTATACAGATGGCCCTCACTTTGTTACTTCACAGAAGTGTAATCTTGCTATTCAGCAAAGATCCTAATTCTACCACTCTCTTGCTTTGTGCAATAAAACTAAGCAATTATGTGACTGTTTGGGCTGGATGTGGGAAGCTCGTGCAACCAGTGCAGGCAAGAGTGTACTCCGCTATGCAGCTGGGGCACACTAGGCCTTATGGGAGCAAGTGGAGCAGTGAACAGCCATGTGAGGGAATTTATGCATTCCCTCAATTAATATTGCATTGTCCATTGTTTTGTGCAGTCCTATGCTATACTCATCCATCTTTATATGTGGATTTGCCATTGTTGTTGACTTAGTGCAATGTCATCTAAGTGACTTTCCTAGAGTATCTCCTAACCCCTCTAATGATAAAACAAAAGACAACTGCTGCAACACATAAACAGTTAGAAATATTGAGGCAAGCCCAAGTAGATGACAGAGCATCTGCATTTGTACTGCACTCGGTCTTGGGGAGAGCACAATAAATGTCATTAAGAAGAATACCGACAAAATAAGGAACTCGGTGTTGCACTCAACATATATTTCAGTAAAGAGTCAAGGATAAGAAATCCTCAGCTAAACACCCACCCCTCCCCCATAAAAAAAAGTATTTGGAATGTGAAAAATGCACATCTCAAGTGGTTACATGTCCCAGTGGAGGGAGAGTATGCAAGTAAATTCCTGGTTACATGTCCCAGTGGAGGGAGAGTATGCAAGTAAATTCCTATTTATTTCTTGTAATATGACTGATGGAGCTAATATACAAAACAACAAGCAAGATATGTGCAATGAGAATCAAAATAGAGATCAATAGCCTCTGAAAAGCTATTAATCCATGCAACCAAATAATAAACAAATAAATAACAAAAGAGGACTGGGAGTGAACTAACTCCCTCCCCCCAAAAAATTTATTCATAGGTATGGAAATTATCCACAAGGCAAGCAACAGCAAGGCAGGGTAAGTCATATAAAAGTAGAGACTCCATAAAAACTATATTTTAAGTTTTTAATTTTTCTTGGTATGCATGGCTACAGCAAGGTTCAGAGTTGAGGTAGTTCACTCTGAAGGGAAAGGAAAGGATTACAATTAAGTAAAAACTATAAATAGGCTTGTTCAATGACCCTAGTGGTGAAAATCCTTCCAAATGATTTCCTGTCATTTGTCAAAATTCAGGAAACATATTTTATAAAACAAAAAATATTAGCCTGCTTGAAATAATAAAAAAATATACAAATAATCAATCAGTTTCATATCCTGAGACATTAATGAAGTGTGGATGGGTTCGACACATAAACTCAGGAAACACCAATTCCACACGAGTCATGTCATCAAATAAAACAAGAACCCTTATTCCTTCATCCAAAGGGTTGCTGACCCATGCCAAGAGCACCTATAGACCACTCAGCTATGAATGGATGCCTAACTTTACTTTTGGGGAAGTGAAGATGGTCAACTGCACTACTTACTGGCCACACTGTTTCCTCATGTACCGAGGGCTGTATCTACAATGCAACCAATGCAATAATGGGCCTTTAAGCATATAGGGAACACTTTCACCTATTAACTGAATAACCAGACTGGCATATCAGAAAAAAAATTTCACTCGCCTCATAAATACTGTAGTATTAATTGGTAGAGAAAGGACTATGTGACAAAAGCTTTCATATCCAAAGATAAAAAATCAAAGTGAATAAATTCCATGGGTAAAGATCACAAGCAACAGGACATCTCTTGGGCAATAGGGGGGAACCCTAGGTGAACGAGGCACATTAACACAAATAATAAACAGTAGCTGTTAATATTAATTCTAGATTTATGATGCTGCTTTTGGTCAATAATTTTCCACATGTATTTGTTTGTTTAAGATTGCCTATAATATCATAGGCACCCCAAAAAATTATAAAATGTTAATATCACCAACATTAGGACGCTCATTTATTGATTGGTGCTATAAATAAACACTACCTAAAGCATTAAGCTTTTTCATAAAATATTAAATTTTTCCCCTTTTTTCTAGTACTGTACTGATGCCTGGAAGGTTGGCATGTAATTTAAACTAAACCAGGAACAGATTTTGTAAGAACTTGAATGCAATATGCATCAGTGTCAACAGCAACCCAGAAGGCAAGGAAATGTGTTGAATGAAGTTGAAAAGCCATGTTTATGATTAATAGGTTTGAGTTAAACAAAAGGGCTCCAGTGACCTGTTGCCTAACTGGCTTTTTTTGAAGTAATGCTACACAGTATTAGAGTTAGAGGTTACTTTCTTAAGACTTACTCCCCTGGGAAAGTAATTGTTTATGCAGAAATTTATATTTATCCAACAACACATTGTCCATGCTTCAGGATGCAGAGAGCATTGCTTGGGGGTGTTCTAGCAGGATTATCTCATATGTCAACTGTCAACTGACTTGTAGGTCATAGAATCATAGTAGAAACTAGATAAACTAATATTTTAAAAATTATAATATTTAAAACTTATTTTTTGTTTAAAGGAAGTAACAGCACACACAATGAAGTTCCCAACATGGGTCTTTATGCAAGTGAAGGCTTTTTGATACACTGCAGCAAAACTAGCAACATGTAGATGGTAAGTTTCTGGATGTTCTTTACTTGAAAAGCTTCAGGTTATATGAAAAAGAAATGAAATGTGGTGTGGTGTGGTATGAAGAGGTGAACTTAATTAAGGTAGAGCACACCTGTAATACAAAAGGGAGGATACTGAATGCCAGACAATAAGCAAGATGGGCCTTGAAAAAAAGAGCTGTAGCAGTGATAAGGATACAGGCTATACAATGATAAAGGCAAGAATATTAATGTAAATTAACAACTCATTTCTGGAATATACAGAACACTCATCTGCAAATCATAAACACTTCCCCATCCTCATGTCCCACTACTATCAAGAGTTGGATTCTGCGATTAATAATTTGTAAAGCAAGTTTTCTCTTAATATGACGTCTAATCAGTTACAATAAAGAAAATTTGATACTGTAGATTTCAAAAATAAATTAAGAAAACCATGAGCTTGACTTGTGCATCTACCCTTTCAACCAGATTATTACAGCTTCATATCAACACAATGCATAATACAAAAACACTTCCTTTGTTCAACACTGAATGAATGAATTTATGGGGTGTATCCCAGTTTCCATAAAAGCAAGGATAAAAGTATCACTAAAAAACAGAATGTTAAGGTTTTGTTAAATTAAATATAACAAAGGAGCACCACAATGTAAAAGATTATTAAAACAAACACTTAAGTTAATTAAAAGAAATGGTATTTATCAACTCATTCTTCCATAACTACTGAGTGTAAATGTCACTATTTTTAGCTTAAAAGTTTACCATTAAAATTGATACAGAATTTTATTAACCGTTCCCTCTAAACTCTGTTTACCCAACTCTGTTGCAAACATTAAAATTTCCAGAGATGGCAGATGCAACCAATCTTCTCCACTTTCATGGATGCTGAAGATGCTGCCAAACCACAATAAAAAATGAAAAACTGCATAACTATTTTAGCACTAGGCTACTTGTACTCAAGTCAATGTGGGCCAGGTCACTTTTACTTAAAAGATGCATAAACAACACAAGGAGGCTATACAAGACATAAAAAATATATTTACAAAGTTTCCCCAATTCTACTTACTATCAACCCTCACATAATTTGTGAAAACAAGGAACTATTTTTCCCTTATGATGCTCAGCAACGAGACAAACTTGGGCTTCTCCACTAGCATCACAGCGGTAAGTACGGTAACCTTGTTTGGTTCAACTTTACATTAAGGTATCTTAAAAATGTATATGTGCTAAAAAGATAACATTTTAGACTTCTGAAGTCTCACTTTAATTCTGACAGTCCATAAAAGCAGTGCAAGATTTTAAGTATACAACAACCATGAAATTATATTCACTGTACTAAAAAAAATCCTCTTGATTCAGCACAGTCCATTTCTAAATTTTCAACTTGGTCTGCAAGTCATATCCATAACAACATTATTTTCTAAAATGACAAGCTTTCCAGACAAAAAGTGGTGAGACATCATCTATACGAACTGCTGTCCTTAAACTATCAATTACATGATCATAATTATAACAATCACATGGCTAATTTTTTACCCGACCATCTTAATTAGCAAGAGGCAACATCTTATGAAATCCAACAAGTGTGGACCTCATAATGGACAACACACATCATAGGTGACTACGAGTGGTATTTGTACTTTACCATTTACCAGAACCATTTTTCTCCACTACATAATGAAGCTGTCCAACGTCTATGGAAACATGCCACTCTAGCACTATGACAGTCTCCCAAACAGTAAATAACTGGCATGGCCTTAAGTTTGTAAAATAAAGGTAACATGTCCCTTCTTTTTATCAAATCGGCTGGAATCCACACTGCTTGGGTTTTGAGGCATCAGAGAAAACTTGCTGGAGATCGTGGTTAACCATCTAAAATCAAGGTCCTTATTTCTATAAGTAAAATCTAGTGAGTCTTGTTGGATAACACTCCACAGAGACCTACTTTAACTCTGGTGGCTCACTTTCGCAGCAACCCAAGCAAAAGTATATTTTAAAGTGCAAAATTCAGCACATATCTTCACCAGGGACCACATTATGTCATTGTACGATTCCCTTAGAAGTTCCTGAACTGTACTAGTGCACTGACTATGGATTCCAATACAGAACCAGCTCTACAAATGTGAAGTTGTCACAAAGTTTCACTTTGGCAGACCCGCATCCGATGCACCTCTCCCAGTCATAGGGGGCCACAAGTCATTTCTGAGCCAGAATATTCAAATGATGTTCCAGCTGAGTACTGACAATTTGGGTGTAATTCTATAGCCTCCTTATATATGTCCAGGACAGTGAAGAAGCTCTGAAGCTGTTGTTATCTTCTGGTTCTAGCCCATGAGTCTCTGTGTCATCTCTTCTCCAACGGCCCTGGTGCCCCTCTCCCAGAGTCAACCAGTTCACGTCGCATCACCTGATAGGGAAAAATTGCAAGTTACACGGACATAAGATGCATTTGCAAATTCTACCAATGCTAAGTTTCATATAATCACATTAAACATTATGGTTCCTTAAAAAAATAAAAATAAACAAACTTATAAATTAATAAAAAATAAAATAAAAATAAAAATTCTGAAATAAAGCATAACCAATTGCAGGGTAGCTGAAATTAGAAGAGCCTCAGTTCGTTTGTTTTCATACATATATACTCGATTGCTGATTCTTGTATTTCCTCTCCTCAATTTTACTGTGTTCTTCAGCCTATCCATCCATTTCCTTGGTTCTCCCTCCCTCCTACTCTCCACTTCTGAATTATGGACTTTTTTTTACAAGTTTAATACTTTCCATTCTATTATTAAAGGAATGCCTCTCTAACTTAAACCTCTTATTCACCAGAACTTCCATTGGTTGTGGCGTATAACCTTAAAAATGTTTTTTATGGTATCAATTACAGACTCCTACACTTGTTCAAGATAACTTAGCAAAGTTAATTTCACCTGTAAATTAATACAGGGTGCGCCCTAAGATCACCTGATTTCGTGCCTTTACCACAACCTCAATTTTAACATACAGCATTTTGTTCTTCAGGTGTTGTGGAGTATGATATGAGACTTGTTCTCAGAGAGTTTCGTCTAAATATGTGAACTATGAAGCTAACTGTGCAGCAGAAAGCAAAACTTGTAACTTGATACCATGAGACGAAATCTTATGTTGCTGTGCGACACAAATTCCGCATTGAATATGGTTTGCTAATGGGAGATCTTTCTTGTGATACAGTCATACGGAGATTGTTTGAAAAATTTGATCATAAAGGGACAGTAGAGGATCAACATAAGAATTCTGGACATCCAGTTTCAGTACGAACTCTGGAAAACATCAGCAGAGTGTGAGATTCAGTGCTTCGCAGCCCAAAGAAATCTCATTGTCGATGATCACAAGAGTTGGGACTGTCACCATCCAATATTTTGCAAATCATGAAAGCAGATCTTAAACTCTGCCCTCACATTATCCACAGTGGTTCACAACCTGAATGATTACAACAAGGAGAGGAGACTTGCCAGCTGTGAAGCATTCAATGACTGAATGGAGCGAACTCCAACTTGGATCAGGTAAGTTTGGTGGACAAATGAAGCACATTTTCACTTGAATGGCACGGTGAATGGACACAACATCTATTAGAGCACTGAAATCCCAGAAGAGGTGACTGAAAATTCCTTGCTTTGAATTCAGATAAGGGGATGCTTGGTCTTGAAGAAGATGGAAAAACTGTAACGGTGAATGGCGTGCGGTACTGCAATGTGATAAAACACCAGTTCTACCGTGACTTACAGCAGGTACTGACTCCCAACCAGCTGAGAAATGCACAATTCATGCAGGGTGGAGCACGACCACACACAGCAGGGGACACTATTGTTCACCACCAGTTGTTTTGCAACAGAATCATCAGCTTAGAGACCAATTTTGAGTGGGTGCCACACAGCCCTAACCTTAATCCCTTAGACTTTTCTTCTGGGGAGTAGCCAAAAGCAATGTGTACACCAACAATCCCTGCAAACAGGTGGTGGTCATCTTCACACACGCAACAACCCCTTCAACTTGCAAGAAGGTTGTGTCGAACTTTGGTGTGTGTGTCAAGGCCTGTATGAACCGAAATGGTGCGCACAACAAGAATATCAACTACAAAAAATTCTGCAATGTATGATTATCAAATGTCAAGATGTCCTTTTGAGTTTATCATATGATCTTGTAATTGAGTAACATAATTACTTCAAAATAACGTCACAAAATCAGGCCATTCTTGGACCTTTTATGCCTCAGAACTTTCATTGGTTAGGGCATATAACTTTAAAAACGTGTTATGGTATACATTAGATACTCAAACACTTGTTTCAAGATAACTTAGCAAAGTTAACTTTACTGCCCTCTTAGAAGCTAAATATTTTCTTTAAACCGAACAATATATTAGACATATAGTACTATAAAAACACAAGATATACTGCATCATAAAGTAATTAATGTGGAAACCAATACAATTACTGCACCTTGATACAGTCAACATGGCCTTAAATTACTATTTTCACTTCACACCCACCTAGATGCAATAAGGTAATACACCGTACTGTACCAAGTTATACACCGGTTCAAGAAGGACTTCTGGGTACACCAAAGTACAGGTTATCACATTCCAAGGAACAGAGATCTTGGGTTACAGAGGTAGTATGATTCTACCTTAGCAAACTATGGTCTGTTCTCTGTTCAATAATTCATTAACATCTCATCCTATTTTTTCATATCTCTTTGCACCCTAATTAAAGCATGACATCTCTTGCACTTCTTATTTTCTTCTTCCCCCTTCCTATCACCAGAGCTATTTACCACCACACTCTATACACTGAAAATATGTGAAACTCTATTAAAGGCAATGCAAGAAAATTAACATCATCATATCAAGACCTTACCAGCAATGCTATAAAGAACAGCATCACCAAATCCCTTTTGAAGTTCATTTATCACATTTAACTATAACAAGGGTTAACAGTTTACTGACTAAAACATAGTGGAACATTAGCTTATAAAAAAAAAATATAATAATAATTGGACAGTGCGTGTTTCCTCTTGATTCTAACCATCCTGCATTATTGAAAGAATGGAGGGAAAATATTACACGCCTCATACTATTACAAAATAAATCAAACAGACAGAATACCCTACATGATTATCTAAAAACCAGTCACAAATGAACAAAATCTACGAGTTAAACTAACTCTCTCTTACTTGAGCGTGTGGTGGCGGGTGAGGCTGATTCATGGGTGGTACAGGGGAGTGATGTGGTCCCGGCACAGGTGGAGAAACCATCTGATACACTGAATAGCCTCCAGGACCAAGGTTAGGGCCTGGGTGTTGAGGTGGTGGTGGCGGCCCTGTGTGTAGTCTCATGTCTCCACGGTGATCTGATGGTCTACTAATGGCCACACTATGAGTTGAGCTGTGGGCTACAGATACCATTGGGGGTGGTGGACCATGAGGAGGCCCATGTGGTGACCCATGACTTGAAGGGCCATGGCTAGGGGGGCCATGGCTAGGGGGGCCTTGTCCAGTGGGACCATGGCTTGATGGGCCATGTGAAGTGGCCATGGAATGAGGAGGGGGTGCATGAGAAGGAGGAGGGGGTCCATGGGAAGTTGGTGGGTGATGAGGAACACTTGAGGGGCTTGGAGAACTCACTCCATGAGGTGACACACTCGGGTGGTAGTTGCCCCCAGCCGGACTGTGTCTGTAACAATGGCAGTATTACATATCATAGTTGAAAAATCACAATTTCTTTCATTAAAAAAAATATAAATATATATCAAATAAATTTAAATTAGATTGTGTTATAAAAAAATTACAAAGAAGGAAAAGTTTTATATAAATACTTTTAACTTAAGTACGAGGTTAATAAAGTACTTTATCCTTTGTATATACCTGTACATTATAAATTAGTTTTTTGTACTTAAATTTGAAGAAGTGTAGCTGAAACTTAAGTAATAACCTACAAATGTATATGAAAATTAATGGTGTGATTACATGGTACAAAAAGACTGGAAGAGTGAGAATGGGGTGTGTATTGTCTCCTTACCAGTTATTGTATCTCAATAAAGGTACTGAGATGTGAAACAAAAGCAAGAGTGGGCAACTGGGGAATGAAATGGAAACATAATTATACATTGTAGGAGCTGTTTTGTTTACTGTATGCAGTTGTTGTTGTGCAGTTATCCACATCAGAGAATGGGTTAAAGAGATTGGTATTACACATTGATGAAGTTCTAAGAAAAGTAATGTTAATGGTAAATGTGCAAGAATAAGTAAAAGGAATGGTATTTGAAGAGGTAATATTACTATGCATGGAGAAAAGCTGGAGGTTGTGAAGAAGGAAAATAAGTAGAGTCCTGAAAGCATAAATCATAACAAAGAAGAATCAGAGTGTAGTGTGTGCATGAGGATTATATGGTGCAGTGCTGGGAGTAGATACAGACCAAAATTGAGATGACCAGTTTAAGAATCATTATGGAAGCCTGGAGAACTGATAGAGTAAGAAGTGAAAACGTAAAACAACATAGGGTCAAGAGAGAATCAAGTGAGCCTAAAGTACTGAAGCGGTATGGGTATATGGAGGACATACCAGGGTAAGATTTTAGTGAGAAAGATTTATGACAACATGGCTAAGAGACAGAGATTGATTGAAATATGAAGAACTGATCCTGAAATCCTGTTACATAACCAAGTCAGTATTAAGCACTTCTATAATAAATAAGTCTACATGTCAAATCCCAAGGCCCCCAAAATTTGAATATCCTTCACTTTCATAACAAGATCCTAAAAGACAACCACTTGGCATGAAGGTAAATAAACTTTCACTTATCAAGATCGTATGAAAAAATAAAAATAAAATAAAATAAATCAAAATAAAATAAAGTTTGATTCTTTCTTAGCACAGCACTATCTTAGTTCTATCTTGTGTACATTATCACTAGATGCAGGGAGCACAGTAATCCCTTGTCAACATTTTATGTTTTGTACACTGTTCTACCCACCACAGTAGCTGGCCCATTTTGAGTATCTGTGGTTTCAAGGTGATTTCTAGCCAAGAGCAACAAGAATATTTATTGAATCAGGTCTATCAAATGGTTTGACTTGTTCACATCATCATGTACAGGTGACCTCCTAAGTTATGATATGGGATATATTTTTTAAAACTGTTAGGTGAGTATCATATCTTCAAGACATTTTAACATGGGTTCAATGGGATTATCTGTTTGGAGATGAGAAAAGTTGACTTTTTTTGTGTGTAGCTGGTCTGGGACTGAGTGGATCATTAATTATGATTGTGAAGAACTGACAGCGAGTGAAGTAGATGGTTGTGGATGACATGATGTGGAAGGGTGAGGATGGCTATGAATCAGCTAAAGTGCTAATACTGTACAGTAAACAAGGCACACACATCACAAGAATTACACACCACCACCATAATGTCTTTCAATTAATAAATAAACACTTTACTATCACGATGACTCTGCAAACGTATGTAAGATGTAACCAAAGTCAAAGCAAGAGAGAAGAGCGATGGTGGACCAGAGCAATTTATATGTGGACAAGGAATAGTAATGGTTGGGGCTCAGAGTTGGTGTGTTGATTGTGTTGAGACATGTGACAAAGAAAGTTGTGTACTGGATTGTGGCCAGGAGGCTTGGCAGACATAGTTGATCGTAGGGACAATCATTAAACCGGGAGTGACCGATTGTAGCACGAGACACAGTAACTCGGGGGTAACTTGTATGTTCCTAAAATGACAAACTGTTATCTACCACACTCATATTCTCCCCCTTCTTGGCACAGCTTATTCTCCCTCCCTGCCCCAATGCCCCATTATTTTTGTCCACAACTGCACATACAGTAACTACGTATATTAAAGTAAATACCATATACTATAAGTAAAGAAATACAATACTGTGCAACCATTACAGATACTACATAATTAAAGTAAATTTGTAATGCCTATTAAGCATATGTATAGAGTAGAATGAACAAATTTAGAGCAAAACATGTAAGCTCTTACCACTGGTGGTCTTACAGCCCAGCTGTGTGAGTGGTGGCTGGCAAGCCAACAAGTCATAAAGAAACTTCACCTTAGGGTTGTAGGGCTGGGCTGAGCTCCAGGAGGCAGCATTGGTGACTGTTGTCTATGCTCTGTCCCAGGACTTCTATAGCGATACTCAGGCTCTCCCAGTCCGTTTTCAACAGGTATTGGTGGAGGTGGAGCACGTCTATCATGCGGAGAAGTACCTCTTCTGTCGTGCGGTGAGGGTCCTCTTCTGTCATGTGGCGATGCACCTCTGTGTGCCCCTCCTCCAGGGGCTGTACCACCAGTATGGCTACTGCCAGCTTGATAAAAAAAAAAAGATTCTATATATTTGTAATCCAAATATTGCAAGATTTTCTCATACATAACAATATAACAAATAGGTGCTGCAAGTGGTAAGTCTTTTAATGTTTAAATGAAGATACACGTAAAAGTGTTTAAGAGTAGCTCTATGTACAAGTCTGTCTGTCTGCATTAGTGTGATTTATTGTGTACAGTATATAGGAGTGTGTGTGTGTGTGTGTAAGAGTAGTGCTTATATGTGCACACTGTGTTGCTGTAATGTCTATTCTTATTGCAGTGTACAGGATTTAGTGTTGATTAGGTTGTAGACAGTGAATACCAATCAGCTGAATACCCATGTTCAGCTCACCCAAGCAGTGAATATCCCTAGAAACCATGTATAATTCTCATCACCACAGAGGTCCTACTCTTTATCAACATGACGTGATGTATTACTTCTGTACTGTGTATGACTATTTACATTGTCTTCATGTTTAAACATTACCCAAGGGATCAAACAACAGTTTATCACACAAAATATTTTTTCCTTGATTAATGACCACTTAATCCCCATCATAGTCCATCCACATTGAATTTCACTGTAATACAGTAACAGTTGTTGTGCATTGTATTTGATTTTGTGTAGATTGAGTCGTAATTAATAATGGTAGGTATCAGTGCCCTCCCTCCATCACGTGTCATAACAAATGCTTTAAGAACCAGGGTGTGCTGTGTCCAAGTTGCATTGGATACATAAAGTAAAAAGGTAAGGAACATTTTTTTTTTAAATGAAGCCTATGCATGGACAAGGACCATAAAATTGTGTTGTTGTTGATGATGATGATGATGATGATGACGATGATAGGCATAGAGCAAGCAGTATGCAAGAATGAAATACACCTGTATATAAGATTTTGCACAGCCTGCTCCATTAACAACAACACAGTAGATAAACTTTCCTAACCTGTAGGATGATGTCCCTGAGAGTGAGGTCGTGGTGGCGGGGGAGCTGGAGCAGACCCTCGACTGGAAGGTCTTGGATTGACGGCGTGAGAAGGTATAGAAGTTGTATGGGTTGGGACAGAGGAAGAAGTAGAAGATGAAATGGAAGGTGGAGGAGGAGGAATAGGCCCTCCTGGGGATGAAGCGTTGACTGGGGTTGGCGAACTGAGTGGCACTGAAAGTCGAGCATTGACAGCCAAGAGGTGATCCCTTCGAGATATGAGAGAGCTCACAGTTTCCTCGAGTCGAACATTCTCCTGACGAAGTTGATGCAAGCAAGACAGCAAAGATGCAACTGGAATAAAAAAGTGCACTTCTATTACAAAGAAAAATCAGTAATGTAACCTATTTACAAGAAATACCGGTAAACAATTTCAAAACAAACAATAAATTCTGTATGGTCAAATTTGTATTTATCAATCCTACAAACCTTTCCCTATGTTGCAAGGTGACCATAATAAAACCCACACTCAGACCACACATAAACTTGTCCTTTAATTATTGTTATCTGCTCATTTAATTCCTGTAACGGATGTGTTCTGCTATGGTGTTCCCCTTCAGCAACAATGCCCTACTGTAGGATATTCATCGGGGTTGCCCCATCACCACCATGAACTGCTTCCTGCATCTTCAGCTGCCAGTCCCACTCCCTCTATCAGTGTATTTTCTTCCACTCGTTCCACCTCTGGTGTGACTGTGGTGTCCTTGGCTAACATCAGTGATGAGTTGGATAGCCCTCCTCATCTCGCTGAATAAGGCCCACCCCTGCTCACCCCCAGACTACCCTCCCATAAGGTAATGTACCAAAGTTATACAGTATCTTATTAATGTTTATTATGTGTGAGGTAATAAATTACAGTAGTGGTGTACTATTTACCATTAGTTAGGTAGGTTTTTTGTTGTTTGTGAAATGATTTCGTGGTTTTGATGTATGATATTGGAGAACCAAACCTTATTTTCCCATATGTTCTTCAACTTGTTTTATGAAAATTAACTTGATGAATGTTTTTCAAGAACCTAACCCATCCATATACTGAGGGACACCTGAAGTGCATCACTCGATGTATCTAGAGGGTCTGTCAACAGACACTCCGTCATCACCCAACTATCATCTACACCCAGTTTTACCACACTTACAATATAAATTAATAAGCCTGTAATACTTGTAAAATTGCATAAGAGAATTGTATAAGTTGTGGTAATGAGTGATATATTTGAAGGCGAGACTAAACCACGCAAGTATGGAAAATGGCTGTAAAACGACAATGATGATGCATGAGGGTTATGAAAACATAACCCATCATAAACAAATGCAAGACTTACCCAAGTCTGTCCCTCTACAAAATCACTTGAAAATGTTTTAAGGTCATAGAATATTAATAAAAAAAAATTTTCAGAGAGGCACCTACAGGTGATGGTACAGCATCAGCCTTCCTGTACCATCCCTGTTAGCCAAGTTGGTAATAACACTTTAATACTGTTTGCTAATTTATATTACAGTTAGTCTAAATGTCTTTTTATACAGTATTTTGTGTTTTATTATTCCCACTCAAGACCTACACCCATGTCCCCTTGAGTCCCCAGGAAAAGCAAACTATATACAGTACAGTATACACAAAAAGAGCACATATAACACAGCTCTTTGAAAAAAGGTAGAGAATGTAGATGGGAAAACATTTATCCATCTTGAGCTTTGGTTGGATATTGTCTAAATTATATTTGCAATTATGAGTGAAATAAAAAGGTAATATAAACTAATAACATCCACTGACTAATCATATACTAAATTCACAGCTTACTATCAAAATGCTGCGCTTGTTCCATCAAGAATTGGCTGCCCTGCTCCCACTGACGCTCCAGCAACTGTTCTAGACTTTGTGGAAAAGGTGGTGGTTGACTGCTTCCATTACTATTACTTCCACTTATGTTCTGTGCAAAAGAAAAAATATATGATGTTAGGAATGGCATGCTAGTGTTAATAATGCATAAGGAATACAAGCAGAGATTATAACTTTGAATGCACAAAAAGTTCTGAAGATATGAATGAAAGAAAAAATTTAAATTATATGAAGCAAAAAGACTGACATTAACTTTTTTACCAATGATGAAACAAGTGAGTGACCTGTGTGAAGGACCCTGCCAACATTCAAAAGTATGCAATGCTTGCTTGTTGGATCAAGCTATTCTATAAGAATGATTTTCCTGCAAGCAATGATGTATAGCAGCCAATTTACCTCGTTAAATCTGGACTACAATCAAGATTCAATAATTGTCTCAAGGACCAGAAGTATACAGTATTACTAAGAGGTGTACAACTTTCAAGTTTATTCTGTTCAAAATCCATCCAGCTTTATGAAAAGTCATGCCTTAGTATTCCTGTTGATTTAGGGTGTAACTCTAGATAAGAAAGTATGAATTTAAGTCACTTCTTGTCTCCTCAGCCATAAGATGGAATTTCATCCCTTAGTCCTCCAATTATAACTTAACCCTTTTGCTGCGTTTCCCATGCTTGCAATTTTATTCTGGCTACCGCCAGACTCAGCTTAGGGTAACCTCCCACAGCCAAAGGGCTAAGAAACCTTTAGAGTGATTAAAAAACCTAAACAAGGTTAGGAGAGGGAGAAAGAAAATACAACACAAACTAGGAATCATCCCCTTCAAGCACAAAAAACTTAATACAGTATTAGATTAATCTCAATTATTTTTTAGAGAAACACAGACTGGCATTTACAAGTTCTGTATTCAGATATCTCATCATAAGAGGCTGATTATACGAGAATATAATAATGAATAAATAAGAAAAACAGGCAAAAAGCTGATACACATGGTGGAGCCCTTACTCCATACCCCCATCTCCCTCCTGGCTATATATGCATTATCATCCCTCCATTGTTTCTTTCTTGTTTGGGATATAGCAAATCTGATTACAGCACTGTTTTCAGTGAGCAAATTGTATAAATTTAAAACCTCATCTTTCTCCACCAGAGCACAAATATTCTACACAAAAAGCTTAAAAGGCTTAAAAAGTTAACCTGAATAGAGAACATTTATGTATAGAGGCTAAATCTAAATTCTCAAAATAAGAAAAAGCCATACAATATTAACAAAGAGCCAAGTAACAAGCATACTCTTACCTCCTTCTTGCCAGGTAATGCTGGTCCAACAAGTGAGTTAGCAATCTTATCTTCATCTTTGTATATAGAGTGTGCTTCAAGCTCTGCATGAAGTGTGTCTGTCATTTTTTGAGCAACTGCAGATGCTGGGTTTAGTTGGTTTCCCAGCAATAGTGTATTGGCACCAATACCATTGGTAATGACTGAGGTTAATGCACTGAAAGAGACATCATTATGTTAACTGAATAAAATAATCCATCACATTAGAGATGGGTTGTACCTACATCATTAAAGATATACCGTATTACTGTTAATGTTCTTCTATTATGAATGACAGATCCCTTACAAATGCCATGAAAAATAACATTCTCCCCCAAAATATGGATGATCAAATATTATGCAGTTAACAGTGGTAACAAAGACCTTTAAATGGGAACTCTTATTTCATTGGGCATGTTGATCCACGTACTGAAGAAAAGAAGCACTGTACAGGATTAACTTTGGTGACAAGCAAGTGCACTCCTGGAGTTGTCCTACCAAGTGAAGATTTACAAATGATTGGATGACATCTTTGATAGTCCCCAGTACAGTACAAGGAATCTCTATTATTTCAACTAAGGTGACAAACAGGTAAGATTAAATGAAATTATTTTATTAACAAATCAATTCAATTTTTTATTTACTAAACAATTAAAAACAACTTCTCTAACTTACTAAATAATTAAAAACAAATTCTCCTGTTTACAATAAAAAAATTATACTTCATATTGAACATCACAAAGAAGTACAGTACTGTACATCACATTACAACTCACTCTTTTGTGTCTGTTTTCTTGCGCCCTCTCTTAGGAGCTGGTGCTGACTCACTGGTGAAAGAGTCTGGGGAGGATGCTCCAGAGTCTCGTCCCCCGGTGTCCCGTCCACCCCCTGGCCGACCTCGCTTCCCCATGCCTCTCTTAGATCTTCTCCCCCGCTCCTGACTACCAGACCTGAGAAACAAGCCAAAGATTAATCACAAAGTTTTATAAAACACAACCAAAAATAATTAAACACTGCCACATTACTTTTAGTAATATAAAATAGACAATATTTGGAAGAACTCCATAGTACAGTACAGTACTGACTTCCAATGATGTCGTAAGCATATTTATGAACTTAATTTCCTCTATCTCTCTTTGGAATAGACCTGAGTCTAGTTTCCGTGGTAATCTTGCTTTGTTTGATAATGCCATATGATAAACATATGCAGTCTTCAGATGTATCTATAATCAATAACAAGACAACATTCTCCATTGAAAAATCCTGCGTATACTGACTTGATACTTGAGTGATTAAATCATCATGCATGTACTGTATTGTAAATACAGTACAGTACTGTATATACAGTATACAAGTATTCACACATATACATTCATCTGGAGCTATACTTTTTTTCAACTCAAGTCCTCAGCACATTGAATTCAAGTCAGCTGAGTGTGATGATGACAAAGTTAACACTACATTTACATAACTGCCAAGTTTTTTTTTTTTTAATCTGTGGTTAGGACAATACCCATGGCCATGACACAAACATGGAATTATATTCTGCATGTATGTTGGACATGTGGGAGAACCACACATTCACCAAAAATCATGAGAAGTTTCAAAGTGTGTACTGTACTATACACAAGTATTGCAGTACAGTACAGTATTTCACACTTGTATACAGAAGCATCTCTCTAGCTTGGACCTCCAACTTGTCACAACCTCCACTGGTATGAGTAAAGAAAACCTGACTAAATACCTAAAGCAGCGAAGTGTACACCTCCAACACAATCATAGATACTCGTACAGCAATAATAAAAAATATGAAATTAATAAATAAATATATAAACGGTAATCAGTACTGTTGTATTTCAGCGATATAAAAGACAAGAGGAAAAGTTTTTAAATAAGAATGGTCTAGGTACTGATACCAGTACTACCTATTATTTTTAATGAAAGCATATTGATCAGTTAATTTACACAATGTACAAAACATGGCCAGAGTTCCTAAGTATTGAACAAAATCACACATAGGTACCATGCTGATATGTGCAGACAGCAGACATTGCTAAGTTTGAAACCCATTAAAAAACCCTGACCTCCTGCGAAGAAAATGAAACAATATTTCTAGATAAAAATACTAAATTTTTCTCTAAGAATTTATATTTATATCAATTATGAGGATTATTATTCTCATACACATCTTTTTACAAATTTCTATATGAAGTCAGGAAATATTAGTTCTAATTTATTCAGGAATTATAACACTAATAGTACTGTATAATCCAAAGTTCAGGTGAATTTTTGTACAATTCTTTATATGTATATAATTACTGAACAGTAAAGTATAGTCATAACTAAAACAAATATAAAATACAGTATGAGAAAAATCTGATTTACTTATTCAGAAAAGTGGCATCATTAACTCCACTAGAGTTTCAGGGTTCAGTAATGGGCTTGAAACCTTACCACAGGAGGTAATCAGCTTATGAGTGTTGGACTGCACAACTATATACTGTACTAGATTGTGCAATTCAAAAACTGAGAATTACCATACATTCTGAGTACTGTAGATCTAGGGCCTCACCATGCAGAAATACTGTATCACAGGTTGGAGGTGTTGGTGACACATTTGACTGCTGTTACAAATGATTAGTGGTACAGATGATTGGAGATGTATTGGTTGGTGGTGTAATTGGTTGGTGTAGATAGTTGATGGTGTAGTTGGTTAGTGGTTCAGATGGTTGATGGTGCAATGGTCGGTGGTTCAGACTTTTGGTGTTTTAGGTATTTGGTGTTGGCAGGAAACCCACAATATTGCCTGTGGAGAGTGAGTGAGGGCAACAATGATCTCACTCAGACCTCACATCACATCACACCTCAACACTCACTCCAAGAGATGATATTTCACAATAAGTCATTTAAGAGTGACTGACAATCATTTACCATAGTTTGTGTGTAACCATGACGCCTCATTGTGGTTACTGTCTGGAGATCAATTAAAGAATTATGTTAGAGTAATATTAATACTTAATAAAAGATATATAGGCCTACAGTACTTATATCTGCTCATGAGATGGACTTCCTAAAGGTGAGTCTACCAGTCCAATGGTTTTCTCTTCACCCCATGACACACATTCATATAATTTATGTTTATACTACTTTCTAGAATAGTGCAGTTTTGCTTACTGAAATTACATAAGCAAGACTACAGGAGTATAATACTGCATAGCCTAAAGTAGTATTTCAGTGGTTATACATGTTTCTTGTTGACGTGAAATAAACAAATGCACCGAAATAATTATTACTGAAATACAAATTCTAATTATGACAGTACGAACATGATTATCACAGAACAAAACTATCGTACATTGCACAGCATGCTTACAGGTAGCTACCATTAATTAAAAAAAAAAGTTTCCAAACTAAAATTGTTAGTACGTACATTACATTACTTGCAACACTCTTACATAATATTCAAGGCCACATGAAGGTAAATCGGCTCTAAGTTGTTCATAAATGCATCTCGTTCCAGATTTACAAACAAAGACTAATGATTTACTTTGTCTTCCTGACGTGTGTAGTGTTCACTTATGTTGTTCTGGTGTACTGTACTGCACAACATACATACTTTAGTAATGAGCAAATTATTCTTCTAATCTGTTTTTCTTTACAAGTAGGAATCTGAAAGCCAAGGTGTACAGTAGATGCTCCAAGATCCATTAACTCAGGGCTGCCTATCATGTATATCCTGACATACACTATACAGCCTGAAGGGATATATCACATATATACTGCACAGGTGCATAATACTGTATGTGCATGTATAATTTTCCTCCCACTGTAAAGAAATGTGGTGCAATTCACTACTCCTGGTCTTAAAAGGTTAGAATCAAGAATTCTGTAAAGAAGAGCAAAACTACATATTCATAATAGCAAAATTCTGCCTGTAATTACATATAGCTCTAAAACTTGGACCATTACCCAAACACTGGAGAAAAAATCTGAAAAGTTTTGAGAGTAACATCCTGAAAAGCATACAAGTATGAATTAAACCAGTGGCAATACAGATATGCATGAGTATTGAGAGCTCTAACCATACAACCTTAACAACAGATCAGCACCTAAGATGTGGTGAGAGCAGTGGGTGATCAAATATAAAACGAGGCTTGGGAACGGATTCTACAATATCAAAGACCCAAAGGACACCCACAAACTAAATGGAAATAAGAAATTTTGGAACATCTTGAGATCCAGCAGAAGATTGATCAATGTAGTGAGGGATTATTGTGACAGTTAAGGGATTTATTAAGCCTACAGTTCTGGATGAGCAAAGAGCATTGTGTTTTGTCTAATTTTTATCACTTGCCTTGGGGCTAACTACTAAAAGGTGAGGCAACATGAGAGAAAAAAGAAATAGCTGCAAGGTTTAGTTGTACTTCTATAGTAAGTGTGTGAGGTATGTGAATTACTTTATTTCCATCCCCTTTACTTACGCATTTACAGTATTCTATTTCCATTAAGTGCACCTACTTGAAAGACCTCTCTTGCTTTGCTCCCATATTTTTGCTTCATATTGCCTCCATCCACAAAGGGCCACTGGCTGCAGATCCTAGAGACTCTTGAGGTCATCAACATCAATGTTTTCCCAACTCTCAAATACAGGGAATAAGATGGGTCCTCACACTAAATTTCTACTACACCACCTGTCCTCTTTGATGTCATTGTGAGTTAATATGACAATCATCCAATGATGACAAAGTGATGGGAAATTTTCAATTCTTGTCCTCCCCAGTGGATTGTCAATCAAACTCAGAGGTTTTTACACCCTCTCTTGCAGCCTTCTATTTTTCTAAGCATTATAATTAAGGGTTGGTCTGCCAGATGCATGAATCGATTTGGCAATTTTTTAAAATTTGTACTGAAGATATCCTTGTACCTCTTATAGTGCCTGCTTGCAGTATATTTTTCATTCCTTAAAAGGCTATAGAGTAGATGCTTTGGTTGTCTATCATCATCCATACAGTGTAATGCAGCCAGTCCAATGAAGATGGTCCTGGATGTCAGCCTTATTGCTCCTACATTTGGTGCCAGAGAGGATACTAGCATTTATCATTTGGTCTTCTCAGCAGACCTTCATAATGGATTAAAGACTGTGCTAGTGAAAACTCTCAAGCATTGAGATATCATCTGCATGTGACCCAATTCTCAGTTCCATACAGCAGGGTAGGGAGGACCACAATTCAACAGATGTGCAGCTTTGTTAATAGTTTCAACTGTACAGCTGAAGACACAGGTACACAGTCTGCCATAAGAAGCCTATCTGATCCAACATTGGATCTCCTCATAATATCTGCTGAGGAGGACAGGTGGGAACTTAAGTAGTGGAAATGGTTAATGTTGGTAAAGGTGGCCCTGTCAAACTGGATGGAAAGTGGGGGTATGACTAAATGAGGGGCAGGGTGGAACAGAATCTGCATCTTGAATCCATTCACCTTGAGGCTGAAGTGTGCATACACGTACAGGTGTTCAGGATACGCTGTAAGTAATGTTCAGTCTGAGCGATGAGGGGTGAGGTTGTCTGCACATTGAAGTTAAGTGGTAGAAGTGGCTATCACCTTTGTCTTAGCTTGGAGTTGTTTACTCTCTACCTCACAGCAGTCAACAAATACTAAAGGAAATATTACCTAAAATTAAACTACAATGACAAAATAAAAGCATTCGAAAATAAACCGTGTTTTTAGAATTTCCACTCAATTAACACAAAAATAATGTCAAGAATAAGAGAAGAATCTAAATAGGTAAAAAATTAACTAGCCAGGTTAACTTGATCTGGATAATATCCCCTGTCAGATCTATTCTGTCTGCCAAAGAGTGGATACTAATGAGGCCACCACATGAAGGTATGGTTATTGCTCTTGAGTAACCTCTAGGTGTAGAGCAAGACTTATTTGCTTACTTTTCTTGTAGAGAAACACTACCAAACTGAGAAAAAAAATGGAAATAAACTTACTTCCCTAGGGCCAACCAGTCTCAGTTAGATAAATGCCCATTAACCCATTCACTGTAACTCTATTGTGACCCAGTATCCCTCCTCTGTGTGACAGATTAAAAAAAAAAATTATATATATATATATATATATATATATATATATATATATATATATATATATATATATATATATATATATATATATATATATATATATATATATATATATATATATATATATATATATATATATATATATATATATATATATATATATATATATATATATATATATATATATATATATATATATATATATATATATATATATATATATACTGTATACACCATTTTGAATATGGCATCAAATAGAATAATCTTTCCTGAAGACACCAGTGGAAGACTCATTGTTATACCATCTTCCTCATGCCATGTGTGAGGTATTTATGATGGCTGTAGTGACATAACACCCAGCAGTACACAGACTTAAGGATAAATGTTGAACCTATTATGAAGTTTCAATCCACTTAACCCAATAATTTGCTTTAACCACTGAGGCATTACTTCAATCCTAGTTCACTGGGTAAGAAGTATTGCAGCACTTTTATGTTGATATGTAACAATGTGTCGAGCCCCTGATCACGACAGGCAACACCAAGAAGTGTTCAAGCGGCCAACCCGAGCCATAACTAAATCTTCCTTACTCATTACACACATCTTCTATATCTTTATTGTTACTCATCCCATCTCATCTAATAACATCATAAGCACCCTTTAAACAGTTTATAAAAGCAGCCTAAATCCTAGAACTGTCTACATTACTTCCAAACTCTGCATGGAATGACCCAACTTACTTTAATAATGTGAAAAAATAACTCACCAAAAAAAAAAAAAAAATACATTTACATACTGTACTTAATTCTATAAGGGCCAACAACAAATGAGGCGCATACGACCAGAGTGGACACAGTGTCACAATGGTCAAAACCAAGATTCATTCACAAAAAGATAGGGAGACTGCCCCTGGAAGTGTCATTATGGTAGATTTTGCTTTAGTAAAACCGCCCACACGTCACTATGTGCGGGGCTGGCTGTGAGGGTGGTGGACGACAGATCACAGAGATCTCATTTTTTTCTGGTGCAGCGTCCACTCTGATCGTTTGCGCCTCAAATAAAATGTTAGAAAAATAATGTCGGTGCCTCTCTAGTTCTTGAAGATCAACATAACATAGAAAAAGAAGAAAGAAAAAAAGAGATACATGTCGTGATGAGCATACTTCTGGCTCTACACACTGTACAGTATTGACCTTACTCATAAAAAGTTCAAGAAAATTTGTCAATTCCTACGGCTACTACAATACTATGATAACATTTGTTTCAAAAGACCTAAAACAGCATAATGTCCAAGGTAATGAAGCAGAGAGCTCTTGTGTTGTCATCATTACAACAACCACAACATTATACTTTTATCATCAAAAAATTGCTTACCTTCCTCTTTTAGCTGGTTCACTAGAAGCGAAGTCAGCCAATGTCGGCGTGAAGGGATCAGAAACGGGTTTAGAGGTTAAGGACATGTTTGGCGTAAACTGCACATTTAAGGTTCCACCATCATCCGAGGAGTCCAAAGGTTTACTTGGCACTTTGTTTGATTCTTTTTCAACACTAAGGTTCTTTTCCTCACATATATTCAAAACTAGATCACTAGAATGAGCCTCATCATTAGAAACATTTGATTCGGTGTCCCCAAAGTTACTGTTTCCACTTGGAGTTCGTGGCCCATTTCTCCGTAGTTTACGGTTCCGTTCCTGCTGTTTGTCTTTGTCCTTGTCAGAATCAGCAGGAAGTGGTATATGTGCGTGACTGTGTGACTGACTGAGAGGCATGGCTATTTGGTTAATGCTTTCATGAGATGTAGTACTTGGGGGAAGGGGATGGGGCTCCGATGTCTTGAGGCGGGACAGAGATGGAATTGAAGTTACTATAGATGATGGGACAGACGTTATTAATGAAGATAAGCTAGAGACGGTTGTCGATAATGTTGTTAATGAGGAAGATGAGTAAGTTGTTGAAGAGGTGGAGGTTACAGGTGGTGAGTGTGAAAATGATGTTGAAACTGAAGAGAGAGAGACTGGAAAGGATGGCATTAAAGATGAAGGGGTAGAGAGAGGGGTAGCACTGGAGGTTGAATTTGACACAAAAGCACTGACTGTTATGGGAATGGGAGCCTTGGTCACAGTAACAGACAAGGATGCACTATTAGCAAGACCAGGTTCCGATATTTTAGCTGCTCTCTCAGCCTTATTAGGGACTATAGACAAGTTAGCACTAGCTCCCAGAGAAATACCAGAGCTTCCAGGGGTTACACTAGTGTTTTCCTCCCCCACTGGTCCTCTGTCATGACGGTCCACTGTCCCACTACTGCTTCCTGATGCAATGATATCACCAACTTTTCCTTCACGACCAGACGGCTTTACACCAGGTGGGCGTCCTGTTCGTCTCTTCAGCTTAGGATCTCTGGATTCTTTATCATCATCCGAAGCTCCAGCCTCCAACGGGACGGGACGATATGGAGGGATTGTCTTTACATGGCTTCCTTTCCTCTGCAAAAATATAGATCCATCAAGGACTGATGAGCACATATAATAAAACAAAGCACTCAGTAAAATTTATAAGCACTCCATCCAACCATCAGGGTTATGAAACAAGTGGCTATTGTAATTGCTAAGTACTATTCATCTGCACAGATAAAACACAAACAACCTTTAAAACCTATTATGCCCAACTTGTCCAAAGGTTTCCAAAGTTCAAATTTGATTCCATAAACAAAATGAAGTATGCATTTGCAAGGTATTGTTCATGAAAATTCAGTGTTGGAACAAATTAAATTTTGTCCCATGATTCAATTACAAGCAAAAAATCAGAAGTTACAAATATTTTGTTACTATTTTTTTTTATTTTCCACCTGCTTAAGTAATCAAATTTCTTTACTACTGATATGATTTTTATTTAAATAAAATAATGAATTATTATCTAACACTCACAATGTTATTAACCCAAGTGGAAGGAATTTATTTCAACCAAATAAAACCATTTGCCTGGTAGTCCAATTTCTCCTCATTCACTCTCATTTAATGTGTTTAGTCAAGAGATAGCAAGCCAGCTAGTGACAATATGCTGGCTACACTGTGTGACTCTCACTGAGGAGACAACATTAGCTGTAACAGAAAGAAGTGCTGTACTAGAAAACCATAATTTGTCTAGTTTTAGTAGGTGAGTTGACATAGGTATACTATAGCATCAGGAACTGGGTCAATTGTATGTCAAATCTGTGCAGCACTGTCAGTCAGTGGCAGCAGTGTGTGATATATTGTGTTTTTTCTTTTTTTTCTTTTTTTGGGGCATTTTTTTCACTTTGAACAGTTCTCTTTATTTTCCCATGGTTTACTAGGACATTGTACATTTATAGCCTGTATTTAATAAGTAAATAAACATTTTAAGCATTGTTTGGTGAATTTTGGGAACCTAAAGTCCCTACTTCTTATTTTGTATTGAGTCAAAGATACACATACCTGCACTGTATAACTATAGTGCACATTTTTACTTCACAAATTTCTCACTCCCTATCTTGAGTAATAACCCAAGGGCACTATACAACCAAGTATTTTCCCCTCCTTTCTTTCCTCACTTGCTGTCCCATTTGAGTATGCTTGTTAAGGAAACCCATACCTTTTCTAAACATTGTACTGCATTCACATTCCTTCAAAAAGAAAAAAAAAAGTAACCACTTCAATTACTGTATGTAATAACCCAGAATATGTTTAATCCATCAGTAAATGTTTCAAGTGTTTTTGCAGTTTTTAACACTTAAAAGGAGTGGATTGTTTAGAGGATGAAATGTTTGGGGTGGACTCCACATTTGGCTAATGCTCAACTTCCAAAGAGGATGGGGAATCAATGATACAGATGGATAGTCAATTTTATTTCCTCATAAACCACTTTAGACAAGCTAACATGAAAGAAATTTCCACTTACCAGCTTTGAGAAATGGTACTGGCAATAGCCACAGTACTTAACATTATCCAGGTAGTTTCCTGCTTCTTCACAGAGCAAACCCATTGACTGTGCACAGGTTACATGGAAGTGTTGCTTACATCCAGATTTGTTGCACTGCATACATGCACCAATGATGGCTCGGCTTTCTTTACCACTTTCTTCACAGATGTAGCAAGACTGTGGAGGCAAGTGATCAATGATAATGAAGTGATCAATGATGAAATGAAATGAAATGAAATGAGCCCACCCAACAATGTTATGTCAAATTCACTACAAAATTGATCCTGAAATCACATTTTAAAGCTGACCCAGGAATGAGCAACTTAGTATAGATACCAAGCCTCAAGGTCAAAACTCCAGGTCCCAGGACCCTAAACTTGTAACTGGAATCTAGAACATGAATATAACTTGAAACTTAGATTATCCTTCCTTTCATGCAAAATTTCAATAAAGGTGATATTTGATATGAAGGTTCCCACTAAAGAGTGAAGGTTGGGTCTTTTGTTTACCTAATTACAAAATGATGCAACAGGATCAACAACCCAAACAGAAAAGAGAACGAATACGAGGTGCTTGATCGCACATTAGTTATAAAATGAGATCTCAGGAACAATCCCTCATTGAAATGAGATTTGATCCTCCCATTCATAACCTTACACTAGAATTTTATCTTAGAATCCAGTCACAAAGTAGTGAGGTCCTCAGACAAGGGGGTTTCAACCCAAGACATGCTCAATCTCAGACCTATGTTATAAAGGTTATAAAACACATATTACAAAAGATGATTTCAACCACAGTACAATAAATTGGTAACTTTCGCAGAAGAGTTTTCCAACTTAAACAAAGAACTTCATCACACAAGATTTTTTAAACTTCTTTAAACCAAGGAACACTGGCAAAAGGGCACAACCAAAATTTTCAAGATAAAAAGTATTAAACTACCTGGTATATGTTACACTACAATTTACACCAAAGTGGACCAATATATTTGTAACTAATGATAATCCTTGATGAATAAATTTGCAGTGCTCTGCATTCTTAATATGTACTTAGAAAGCAACTAATCTTAACTTTCCCAAAAATGAAAGTTGAGGATTGGAAAGTGAAATCCGAGCTCGTTGAGGAAAAAAGCAAAATCTGTGAGATGTTTCACTACTAAGCACCTCACAGACAGAAAGTATCATAGCCCTTAAGTGCAAAATGCTTGACAGCAGTGGACTTTATCCTAATAGACAATTTAACATTACAATCAGTAAATGTAATGCAGCCTTCCAACTCAGAAAAATCAATACAAACCTAGTGGTATCTCAAGAACCAGCAAGGTTAGTCAGTTAAATTAGACTTTCAACTATACAGCTCACAGCTTGAACCCACTCTGACCATAAAGGACAATTACTCCAACCATCAGTTGCCTTCTCATTTTAAAATTCTCTCAAAATAGGAAGGCGGGAATTCAGATCCAATGCGTATCTTCTCGGCTATAAATCAAGGACTAAATTAAGGTATCCTACTTTGAGCTAAAGGGAAGACGAGTGATCTATTAACTTCCCCCCAGAATATCCCTTTGCATATCCTTTCTTGTCCAAGTGGTTATCTGTATTCTACCTGCAGTGAAAATGTCCTGTTAAATTACAGTAGATTGCTCAGTCGAAACAGGGTTTATTAAGCACTTTCTAACCCCAGTCTGGTGGTTTCTTCAAAAAGCATCAAGCCATGGGGTTAGACAGAAAGAATCCTGAAGGGGTTCCACAGTACTTCTGTTTCCCCCCAGCCAATGAAAAGGACTTGATAAGACATACTTGTGACCTGAGTGATTAGAACTATAACTAGAACAGGGATGGAAGAAGCCATGCAAACTCTCCAGGAAGTATACATCTTGAGTGAAACAAACCAATTATTTTGTCAGTGCAAGCAATAAAATAAAATAAATCCTTAGTTACCAATGGAACTGAACCTTGAAGCTGCTCATATATGCAGAGTTCCTATAGAGGGAATACATATTGGAGGAGGTATTGCCCAGACTGAGGAAGAAAATGAGACTTATTCAGTGTTGGTATTAAGTTATTGGCTTCAAAACCTCTGTAGCCTCAAATGTCCATTTTTTCTAAGACTTGTCAAAAGGAGATGTTTAATTTGCAGATAGGCCCCAGATGGCCCCAGCGGATGTTCTGAGTCCAAACCTATATCATTATGCAGGCATTATAAATGAGTAGATCCATGCCAATGACAAGTAATATAATCTTGTATCATCAAATACCTTTCATGACCATGCAGGTATATGGCAAAATCCAGAACTGTATAATAATTGAGAAGTGTTAGATAAACATTTAGTCATAAATCTGTTCACATGACTATTGCTAGAAACTCTACCAAGAAACTGGTGGCAAGGGTATGTCATCTCAAGTGGTCAGAGCGGATTTAACCATATGAGCTATGAAGTCAACATCCCAATACTGACTACTTCAAATGATCCCTAAGACAACCAATGAATCATACAGATTCAAAAGGGTGGGAAGGAAGTACTTCCTTCATTGGCTGCAACATGATGTCCATAATGATAATTTCCCCTGCTGCCAAGCCCCAGCACAACCTACAGGCAATAGCAGGATCTACCTATGAGGTACTTACCATAGGTACTGTGGCCTTTCTGAACATGTGGCTATGTCAGAATCATAGTCGAAACTTCAGAGCACAAATCTCTAGTACAGTACAAATATTACTGAAAAAATATATTGTAGGCCACATGTTCAGAAAGGCCACTGAGGGGTGGAACACTATACCTGTGGGCAACTGTACATCTTACTGACTTCACAGGACACAATTCCTAGATAAGAACATGGAACAGAAATATATATACTGCCTCATGCACAATGTTAAAAATGTACAAAACACAAATGTTCATAATACAATTATACAGTATATGACTTCTTCCTACCTTATTGAACCTTTCTTGAGGAATGAGTTGGAGCATAATGGGCTCCATAGTGGTAACGTTTCCGAAGCGCACCTCAGGGATGTACAACGCACAAACCACGTGTGCCCAACCACCCGAGTCAGTACGCTTGAGGGCACCATCTTTACTCGGGCACAGTTCGCACCTCTGTGAAAAAATGCGCCTCCCGCCTGAGTGCTGGGTGAGCGGCCATAGGGTAGGTGTCAGTGGGTTTGGGGTGCCAGGGTGGGAGGGATAGGAGCTATGGCAGTATCTTGGAAATAAATAGCCAAGGCTTTGTGGCTGACATTGATATCACTAGGAACAAGAGCAGGGAGGTGCATGACAAGACTAATTGTTCCTAATGTTATCGGGTTATATCAACACACTATCTCCTAAAAAGTTTATCCAATATTATAACCAAATTTCCACTGAAGGTACAAAACAGTGCTTTATGAATACTGTACAGTAAAACCCCATAATTTGTACCCCTCAAATAAGAAATCACTCATAATTCGCAAAGTTTTGCTGTTATGAAATACTATAACTACACTGTTTTAATTTTTTTAATATTTGGTAAAATTCCAAAATATGAGGCGTTTAAAATTTTTACGACATACAGGCAGTCACCGACTTACGACGGGGTTAGGGACCCAAATCCAGGTCGTAAGTCCAAAATGCAAAAATAACACATAGAAAATCTAAAATGGGTGTCTCTTTTTCTTCTCAGCACCACAAAACTCTCACCTTTAAGCTTGCCAGCCTTTTAAAGGGAATTACAAACAACAATTTTGTCAGTACACAGCGCAATCACTAACGACAGGACTCGAAAATACGTAATTTGAAAAAATTTTTGGTACTACTGAGGCAGTCTTATGTCCGGGTGGTCGTAAGTCTCGTAAGTCGAGTAGTACCTGTACTGTACAGGTATAACAACTACATTGTTTTTAATATTTGGTAAAATTTTGGATTATGTTAAACATTAACGAATATGTATAACACACATGTAGCCGGGGGATGTGACCGCCCGCCTCAGTGTAAACAAGTACAGTACTGTATATGTGTGTTGGACCTGTTGCTCAGGGTGAGTTCACATTAATTAGTCAGGTTAGTCGTGGCGTGCACATCTACAGTCTACCGCTCAGTGTTTGAACCATTATTGTATGTCTGATAACCTTGGACCAAAGAACTCAAAAGGAGCTTCTAAGAAGAAAGCTGTCATGTCAAGTGGCAAGCACAAGTATTTAAACATCCTAGATAATGATTAAATTTTGATTGGGGCAGATAACGGAAAGGTACTATTTTTTGGCTTTGGTTTTTCCTTGTGAGAAGGTGTCCGAATTAAACGAGTTCGGAACATTTTGACATTACCGTATTTGACAATTTCCTAATTTTTGTGTTCGATTATTCGTTCGTTTTCTGTTCAGTTTTTGCACCTGGCCATGCCTTGGCTGCAACATAAAATAATCTATTTATAATTACAGTTCAAATATATTTTTTGAAAAGCACACATACGTAGTAATAATAAAGTAAATAAAACAGTAATAAATAAATGTAACACTGCGTGGTGAGCTGACGAGGTGAAAAGGCGAGAGGTCAGGTGGCTTAACAAGGCATTTACACAGCACACACATTAACACCACTACTAACCCATTGTCTTTTAACATTTTCATTTATAATTTCTATTTTAAAATTAATTGATACATGATGGCTTGATTTGGCTACTTTTGCACTAAGACAACTGATCAGTGAATAAACCAGGGCATATGGAGATGCATTATACACTACAATAGTTTTTTATCATGTTCTGATAAAAATATTGCAATATTATATACTAAGTGCTCAAGACAACAACGGTGCTTGGGAGATGGCGAGTGCTGACAAAATTGTTAGGGAGAGTAGGAGCAATCAGCTGTTTACTGGCCTGTAAACAAGAGACCGGGAATATACAGTACTACGGCGCAATAGCTCATCTGGGATTGGGGAAGGGGGGATTTTAATTATTTTTCGAAAATATTTTATTAACCTGGCATCAAATGAACCAAAATAATATGGGAATTATGGTGAAATTACATACATGTACAGTACCGTCATTATAAAGAGAGCTCGGGAGATGAGTTGTCCCCCCCTCCCTCCTCCTCCCCTCTCCTGGGCTATGCACCCAAATGTAATATTATACAGTATCTTAATATAATTCATATTCTACAGTATTCCCGTGGTATAAATTCAGCTTAATCAATTTCATAACATATTCCTATAATAAAAAACTACTTTTCGTAACCACCCGGTTATTTCAGATTCATTCCCAAATCAAATCGTTTAATTCATTTTTGAAAAATCATAAAAATTAAGCCCAAATCCAAATAATAACATTCCAATTTAATGAGGGTACAGTGTATGGGGGTTTTACTGTACTTTGTTATGCCAGACCAAATACACTTATGCTTAAGAGGATCTTGAAGCAAGGGAGTCACATTGTGCACTAACTCCATGCATTATCAAAATGGAAACATTACTTCAATGACACTGCTGTACTATGAAAGAAAGGACATATGAGAAAAAATGGAATAGCAACAAATGAGTGGTGGGCAGAGAAGTGAGGTCTAGAGTTGGATGGAGATGCTCAAAATTTAAGACTTAAATATTAGGGGAGATTATGGGTGAACGATAAAGCATTAACAAATTATACCAGAACACATCACATTTTTTTTCTCTCCTGATAGTCACAAAGTTGACAGCAAGCCCTCGTACATATATCATCTTTACATCTGCTGTACAGTATTCCGAGTTACTGTTAGGTCTGAGAAACTGCTTTACCTGTCACTTCAGTACAGTACAGTGCAGGTACTGTATGTGGAAATGTTTGATAACAATGTTTCGAAATGATTTTACCTAAAATAACCTGATCTGAATGGAGAAAAGGCATAATAATACAGGAAGATGAGTACAAGTACTCTACTTCAATCTATGACACCAATTTAATTTTGTTTTCCCCAATCTTTTTCTCAACTGATAATGTCAAGAAATAAAAACAGGCCCCGATACTTTTAATTTTATGTAAACACTTGAAACTTCTCGAAGATTTTAGTTAACACAAATTATAATCCCATTCAAGATTTTACCAAAAATACATTACTTTCAATCCCAAGAAAGCTAACTTTAAAAAACATGACAATCATGCTTAAAAATATTGAAACACATACAAACTAGCCCACATATATCCAGATGACTGGAAACTATCTCACATTAAATTATCATTGTTTCACAACAGGATTTTTTTTAACAATACGTATGCCACTAAAGACACCTAATGATTCCCAAAAAGAGGAGCTGGCTGATCATTGAACCTTACCTAAAATTCGAAAATCTTACAAATGAATCTCAGCCCATTAGGAAAGTGGTTTTTCTTAATTACCTGGCTAACAGGTTGTCCACCAGCCCAGCTGTGTAGATCAAACACTTGAAATACAACACCAATAAATAGAACTACGAATCAAGATAACACTTACAAAAAAATAAAATACACCTTTCATATACAGTATAATAAATATACTGTATATACCTATATATGCAATTAATTGTTCAATTTTATTTAACTAAGACAACTCCAATATCAGTAATCAAAAAGCATACAGATAGAGTATAATCAAATGAAGTCCCCAATGAAATCTCAAATGGTCCTACAACTTGTGTTTTGATTATTTATCATTTCACCTCTTATCAGCTTACTAGCTGTTCAAGCAATTGGTCTGTTCTCTGTTAAGACCTTCACTGTCCAGGATTGTACAGGAGGAAACCAGAGTCTCCTGAGAAAGCTAAAGTGCTTCGTAAGATCACAATGTATAACACCCTTCTCACATCTGGCCTGGGTCAGGAATTATCCCCATTACATTAACATAACCTGTTCTTTTTTTGCAAGACCACTGCCCAGTGATGGATGAACAATAGTGATAATTGTGTAAAAATTTTGATCACCCACCTATCAATTGGTCTGACCATATAAAGTATGAGGTGGAAAAAAAAGGCCATATATTTACTGCCAGTGCAAAATAGAAGTAGTACTGTATATATGAGAACATCAAATTTATGCATGGTACGGAAATTTAGAAACTAACTTCAAAAAAATTAACCCTCTGCTCCTACAATGATACCATATAAAATTAAAGACTGTACATCATAGACACATATTACTTAGTGCAAGAGTATCAATTGAACTTCACTAATGCATTAAAGTTACATACAACAGTTTAAAACAGTATTCTGTCCCAATAACCACCTTCTTGCATTATCTAAACTTCTTTGGGATACCGGACAAAAAAAAAAAAAAAAACCTTGCCTCTTTTCACTTCAAAGTTAGGTCATCATAAGATCTACTCAAAAAAGAGCAAAGAATTCCATTAAATATTTTTTGAGAAGGCATTACTATGACAATACAAATACTGCAGTACCTGACTTACAACTGTCCAGAACCAGAAAAGCAGGTTAAAGAACAGGAATAACCAACACTAAGGAGCTATAAAGTTCATCTGCAAAGAACTTGAATCTTAAAAAAATTAATAAATAGAAGATAAAATTCACACATGGAAGATAAAAATGACAAAGAATATTATCATAATACTAAAACCAACACTGCAAGTGTATGGAAAATAAACACACTATCAAATCATAAGGTTATAAACAAATGATTCATTTCCTCAGTGTGCACATTCTAAAACCACAGGTAAGCCTTTGTCCCCCATGGAAAACTGGGTCAGGAGCTCCTGATCATATCATCTGATAAATTAACAATACTGTACAATGGTATAGAGGGGTACAGTACTTCATGTTAAAGGGAAACACAAAGATTTCAAAGTTCTAATCAACCAAATGTGTGCTTAGTAACCAACCCCCCAAAAAATTTAAATGAAAAAAACTTTGGAACAATTTGCAAATGATTTAACAATGAACCAAACATAAGCATATTAAATCCTTACAGAAAAGGTATACAGTATTGTATTCAAACTCAAGGTATATTTAATTAACTCCATACCTGATCATCACAAAAAGAAATTCAGCTGATGACCAACCTGTGCACATAATTCACCATCAAATTATGCAATCCCCTGGAGGTCCGGTGCTGCAGCAAAAGCCACAATTTGTGAACTCGGGTAAATTGTTGGGCAGAAGAAAAAATACTAATGCTTGTCATTTCTAGCACACTAACCAGGTCTCAGATGATTTGGATAAATGTATAAAAGCCTTTGAAACACTTATGCACAGTAAACTCATTTACTTTCATGTGATAACACTTAGGCTGTGATAAATCCTAAGATAACCCATTCCTGACAACTCAACAGTTGGGTCAATAGGCTTAACTTTTGAAATATGTCAGGCTTGGGCAATTGCACAAAACTATTCACTGCAATGGTCAGCTAGGAACCAGTACATTATGTTTTGAGTATGCAAACCAAAAAATAATAAGGGAGTTATTGCTATGGTGTGATGGTCACTGATTGATCACATACTCGCTCTAAAGAGACTTCCAGCCTTCTCTTCCCCTAGTATCTCAGGGAGGGAAAGAGCAGCTACTGCACATGCCTCCTCATTTGACGATTACTGTGAAAACTAAGAATTGTCTTTCTAGTGTTAGCTGGTATGAGCCAGGTTGGATGAGAACATGGACAACAGACTTAAGTGATTACAACATCCAGTTATGCATTATGAATACAGTACTATTCATGTTATGTAAATTCAATCCAGTAGGCATAGTACAGCAGTCTGTAAGGTTTAATTTTCATGTTCAACTGTCACATGAGACCTATAGTGTATGTTTGTTTTGTTTTTGTTTTAGAGTGAGATTTTGGGGGTTTAATGTGTCCATGAGATCAAAGATAATCTTTATTCCCATATGAAGTTAAGTTTCAATTGTATGAGTTTCTTTCTTTTCATTCATATCAGCCTTTCCCACAAAGCAAAAGGTGGCTGAACAGGTGTTGGTCTCTCAAATTTTAACATTCAGTAGCAAGAGGCTTACCCAACCCCTTGGCAGGATGATAGTTCATCAAAGGTTTCCACAAATGGTGTAGTCACCCACAAGTCTTGTCGCCTCTCCTGCTGTTCCATGAACCTGAAGCAGTAGACAATGATGCATTATTGTGTCCATAAATGATTCAGTTTCATGAGTCTGAATCTTGTGGTTCATGGTTCAGGAAGAGTCAACAGGACTTTTGTGGGTGACTACAAAAAGTTAACACAATCCTCTACTTTGGTCTGGAATCAAATAAATGACCAATCACAAGCAGAGAAAAATAGTTTACCAACTAAACTATGGAGCCACATGCAAATTCAAGTTATATACTGCATACAAGGGTTTTCTGGAAATTAACCTCTACAAAAGCTGAAGGCTTTTCTATATTCTCAAGCTGATCTCACCACGAGTACAAATTATAAACAAAATATTTTGTCGGCAAAGTCAGGGACATCCAGCACAATACCAAGGGTCCAAGTAACGGTAAGCATATGTGATACTGCCAATGATTTTTTAATGAAGACAAATAAATTTTATACTGTACTGCACACACTGGTAATTTCATATCACTTGATACAAATTTTCTGAGCTTTCCCAGTCATATGCAAAGATTCTCTCCCACTACTTGTTCACATTCACTACTCCATTATACTTTAGCTTCTTTATTACTCATTTCTAAAACATCTGCACTCTTCTGTCCTTTCTTACTCCTTTGACTTTTATAAGCGAATCTGTGTATGATTATAAATGCAAACTTCCCAATAGTATCCATGCTTTCTTGCTTCTCAGTACATGTACTGTACAAGTAATTGAAACCAGTTCAATTATGCATTAGTCAAACCAACATGCAAAATTGTTTTAATAAATGTTTCAAGAGTTATAGCAAAATCCTTTAAACTTGGCATTAAGATGGTTAATGTTAAAATACTTGGGGAAGATTCTACACGTGGGAAAAAATTAAATAAAATAAAGTGGGGGAGGGGGTACAGTATTAAGCTTACATATAAAAAGAGTGAAATTCCATGTTCTCTCCCTTTCACACTGGAATATTGTACTGTACAGTATTTTATTTTCCTACACATACCAACTTAGTTCACAAGATAAAACAGCAAATAGAACTGGCATCTATATGCTGTATCCATGTGATCAATGCCAACCACATAGCCCACAAGACACACCAACTTATATTGACTTATCACACTATAAACAGAGGGTATCAGTTTATTATTACAGTGTGCTGCACAACACAATTTTGAGAGTGCTGATCGTACTTACAACCCTTGCAGCGCGCTCCTGACTCTCACATTTGCGGCAAAACCAGGCTCCAGTAGGCACCGTAACTATACCATAACAGGCTGAAACAATGGTCCATTAAGTTGGCTGATATCAATGAAATTAAATACTGTATACAAAAGAGACAATCAAAATATAATGTTGCAGCTTTTGTGACACTGCATACAACAAAATATTTTTGTTAGAGAACCACTTACTGGTAATTAGTTATACCTGTACAGTACTGTATTCAAGGAAGAACAGTTTTGTCCACTTGTGAAAAAACCTACAGGTACAGTACTGTACTAATCAGTGTCCTATCTTTAAGGAAAAAAATACTAATTATAGGACAACATCCATATCACTTCCTGGTAAAACAAAAATCTGCAAAAATCTTAAAAAACTGCATTTATCAGATATAAAACCAACAACAAATTTTACTTTAAAAAAATTCTTATCTTTCATAAAATAATGAGGTCTAAGTTTGTTGATATTTTGAGTACAGTACACAAGTCCCTACCTGTAAATGAAAAAAGTAACATGCCCACTGGTATCAAGATAAAAGTTTAACAGTGTAAGAGACAATAAAAAATATTAAAGATACAATACAGTACAAGAAATAAATGAATATTAAACCTAATGCCATCCAAAATTTCATTAGAAAGTTAAAAAAATTTTATTTGAACACATTCTTACACACCCCCTCACTGCAAGGTGAAAAAATATGGCGTCTGAAGGCAGTTGAAAGAGCTGTGTCCACTATCTGAACCCGGAAGAAATCGTAAAATTTATATCATACAAAATCATACAGTTTTTGGAGTTACCATAAGTTGAAAAAACATTTACATTCAATGGCAAAATTTAATAAAGTATGCTACATGTACTGTATGCAGTTATGGAGCACAACTTACCTGGACTATAAAAAAAAATCATAAGTCTGGCACAGTACTGCATAGTTTTACAAAAACATATTCCTTGTGCATTTCTTGGCCTTTCCATGAGATAAGAAAGCTTACACTGTACTGTATCGTCTACAGTGAAATGGTCCTTTTCGGAACTGTATTTAGTTTGACCTGTATTACCATACATTTTCTTCATACAGTGTATACCTAGATTATAGAATTACAATATAGGATTTTTTAGTGATAATTTCAGACAAACATAGGATGAATTTCTTCTACCGTATAACACTTTTCTCACATTTTACCCACAACCGAGATATTGTGAGTTGAAAATCAGAAAACTGCTAAAAAAGGTAGTACAAGTACGTATAGTAATATTGCATTTGTTGCCACCAACTGAATCTTGGGAATTTTATCTTTGCAATCAATAGTTTATACAATTCCAAGACACTTTTCTTCTATGATGCTTTCCTCACAAATGACCTAGAACTGAAAAATTCAATTTTTTTAGTTTATACATTCGATAGTTATTTGACAATGCATGGAGGTCTAAATAGGGGATGTGCCTTTGTTTCAACCAATCTAGGCTCATTATTGTGTGTGGGTGGGACCAGCCATCAAAGTAAGTCCCCCTGCCTAATATGCCAGGGGAGGAAGTTAGTTAAGGTTGGGTAGGTTTGGTTGGTTAGGATAACTTAGTGATATGTGGTTGAAAGCACGAACCTAACCAACCAAAGCTACCATAACCAGGGGGCAATAGCAGAAAAAATATATATATACTGTAGTGTAATTCTTCAAACAGTTTTCTGATTTTCAACTTAGGATACCTCAGTTATGGGTAGAATGTGGGAAAAGTGTTACAGAAGAAATGTCTTGTTTTTGCCTGAAATTATTAAATAAAAAAAAAAATAAATACATAAATCTAATTACCTGTATGTCCTCTACTATAAACTGACCATAGAATTTGCTGTGTCTAAAATGTCACACAGAATTTTAGCCAAAGATAAAATATTAATCTACACACAGCATTGTAAAAATCGACTATAGTATTTAGCCCTTTTCTATGAATGCTAGATCAAATTTTATTCAACCCCCTGCACTTTATCATTTACTAGTCTTATTTATTTGACTTATACAAATTCAATTTTGTAATCTTGTATACACAGGGGATAAAATCACGAGCACCTTTGTTGACAGTCAGCGAGACTATGAACTTTCTAAAGTAACAGCTACTGCTACATTATATGATTTACCGTTCATAAAATAATTACAAATAATCTACTAACCTAACCTGAGGTTCACTTAAATATTATTACAGTGTATAAATTGGGTTGGGTTAGGAAGGTTAAAATGACTCTTTTAATGAATGACAAATTATATAATGTAGCAGTACCCCCTGTATCTGAAACTTTGGAAATTCCCAGTCCCACTGACTGTTAACGAGGCAATCATGATTTTATGCCTGTTAAATAATAATACAGTAATACACTATGAGTAAAGATGAATTGTGGGTCTTAACTACTCATTGTATAAAATTTCACCAGAGAAAATAAATGCTTTCTTACATTATAAAAATGTCGAAAATTAGACGAGCAGTAGCTACATTTTGCATGATGTGAATTCAACAATTTCTTTTGGTTTTAAATGACAAAGCCAAACTCCTACATCTGGCACCACATTGTTTTCATTTGACATTGAACACTACATTGTTGTTGTAACTGATAATGATTTCTCTTGTAAAAAGACACATCTAAATTGCAGGCTGGGCTGATCAATCAAGAATACAGGAGTCCCCCCAAATTTGCGGGGGTTAGGTTCTCAAAATGGTCGCGAAAAGCCAAATCTTGCCCTTAGGACAATTATTTCTTTTACCTGTATTGCATATATGTGTGTATGTGTGTAGACACACATGCACAAAGCACATACAAATAAATAATAATGGGAAAATACTCTCAGAAATAATTAATTTTTTTTAAATGTGAGTCTACTTTCAAGTCTGTGCTTATTAAAGCACGGACTTGAGAGTAGATTGTCGCATTTAAAAAAAATTAACTTCTAATTGTATATACAGTATGTGCGTGTGTAGACACAGCGACATAAAACACATACAGGACACAAATAAATAATAATGGGAAAATACTCTCACAAATAATCAGAAAAAAATTATATTAAAAATGTGAGTCTACCCTCAAGCCCGTGCTTTATTTATTAAAGCATGGACTTGAGGGTAGACTGTCACATTTTAAATAAATTTGCTTCAGATTATTTGTGAGAGGATTTTCCCATTATTATTTATTTGTATGTTTTGTGTGCGTGTTTACACACACACACACACACACACACACACACACACACACACATATATATTTACAATACTTGTACAGGTAAAGGAAATTACTGTCTCTAGAACAAATGGCTCCCTGTCCCAGCCACAAAAATGCTGGCAACTTTAAAACTACCCACAGACATTCTTGGGTACTGTACATCCAGTGTCATCCGTGAATAATTGAGGACTGTGAAATAAAATTCTGTAAATTTGGGGGTCCCCTGTACTTCAACTTTCTTGATGTACACAATTTTAAAAAGTTGGAATATATTAACTAGACAATTTTAAGACATTTCTATGACGTTTCCCTCGCAAATTACTTAAATATACCGGGGGATCCAGGAAAGTGGAGCCCCAGGTTAGGTAAGCTAATTTTAGGTCATTTGCAAGGGAAATGCCATAGAAAAAAGCACCTTAAAATTGTCTAAGCCATCAGAACAACACATTGCTCAACTCGAGTCGTGGTAGATCGAAACTACAAATTAACCGAGTAATGACTTAACAGATACTGTTAGCTACATTACATTTTAACCATCATAACCAAACCATACCTATCAAGGTAAAGGTGAAGAATATGGTTAGCAAAATTTCTGGAGATCTATTTGAATGATGCTGAAGACGAAAATGGAATGACAATGCACAGAACCTAACAGAGCCTGACCTAACCAAAGAAACCTACCTAATTTTACCTTACTTCCTAACCGGCCAGACCCCTCGACCAGATTTTCAGCGGTATATTTCCGGTAAATATTAAAATTCTTCACGTACACAGCACGTAGAGTCTTTATTTAAGTGTCATATGATCAGTTTTTTGTCATGTATTTATTCTACAATTTCCCTCATCCTACATGCCCTAACCACTACAGGTGATTTATGATCAAAGCAGGAGAAAAAGAGGAAAAAAATACTTATAACTGAAATAAAAAGTCGACGTATTAATTTTATTGGTTAATATCATCCAAAGTTCAACTATGGTAAATATGAAAGAAATATAAATACATATGCGGATGCTAACAATCTGCCCCACATTTACCCTAACCTAACGTGAAAAACATAAAAACTGCAGACCCCCCAGTAACTACCACAATGTAATTTATCAATCTTGAAATGTTGGTCAATAGGTAGTAAATGCATGAAATTGGTTTGGATTATCACAAAAATAAGATAAGACATCATTTATAAAACATAAAATAATCAAGCTTAACTTAACTATCCTAGAATACATATTAGTTATCCGGTACTTAACATTATGGGTTAATGTGTAGATTAATGTTGCCAACGATTCTAGTAAGAACACTGCTTTTCCATGATAATTTTTGTTGTTAATTGCTAGTAACAGTGTTCTCTTTTGGGGGAAGTGTTTTTTATTTTTTTTTTTTATACCATAATACCGCAAGAACCGTGGGTGTGGTCGCAGTGACAAATTTGTCATGTTCGTCATAGAATCAATGGCCAATAAATTTGAACTTCTTACGTTGGGTTAAATAAGGACAAGTTAAATACTTACAAAACATTACATATCCACTCACGGAGGGGGGGGTGGGGGGTGTTAGTGCTTTTGTGTACATAAAAGCAGCAAAAACCTTTTTTCCTGCATAAATTTTGCTGTTTAATTTACTGGGGATATTGATTTCTCTGGAAAGGCTGAAAAAACTAATGTTTGACCATGATTGGAAATCATTAGTTTAATTGTCTTTTCCAAAAAAAAAACAAAAAAAACATCTCCAATAAAAAAGCGACAAAATTCACACAGGAAAAAAATGTGGTAATTATATAGGACTAATCCATGGGCGAAATTGATTGAAAACCATTTTAAAAAAGCCGGATTTTTATTGTTATATTATAGTGAACACTATTGTAGTTTGTGGAAATGTTAAAAAATGGATATTTTTTAAAATAAACGCTACATAACATTTGTGGTTATGAAGAACAGACCTAACCAACCAAACGTACTAACCTTACCTAACTTCCCCGGTATATTAAACAGAAAGAACTTACTATGATATGGTGAAATTTGAGGCATTTTCTGGACGTGAGCTGATACGGCCGCATCGGTGCTACACAGCCCGGCGGGTTTGTCAAATATATTAACCAAAAATTTTTTGGCTGGCAAAATCTCTCACAGCACTTAAGTAAACGTTTACTACATTATGAGGGTAAGATACATTTGGTGACACATGGACTGTCAGTTTTATGTACTACATCACACAGCACCAACCTAGATATTCGTAAGTCACAATGGAGTCCTAGAAAAGAACTTAAAACCTATAAATAATCATTCATATTCTTTAGACTTTTAATGTTTATAACAGCAAAACAAGCACAGTTTCTACTACTGGGTCACTTCTAATGGCCTTTTCGGTGCAGTCTTTCAGCATTTTATACTTGTTATGTGCACTAAACAGGGAACCAGCCCAGCTCATCAGCAGGGTGCCAGTTTATTCCTTCACGAGCCTCAGACACACACATCAGTGCCACTGTTGACACAGGGCCCAACTGTGGACACCATAATGATTATGAACTATTTCTTGAAGTCACTTAAAGTTCCTGTCCTTCATTGTGTTCATACTTACTCTCCTTGACCAAGGGGTAGTGTGACATAGAGGAACTGACACCATAACACTGACAATGGATAATATAAATGTGGTGTTGGAGGATGTTGTCAGTACCTTGGTGAACGGCGACGTTACAGCCTTGGCCATCGCAATAAACGAGTGGGTTTTCCGTCCATCCATTCTCGTCCGAACAAACACAGCAGCCCCCCACCATTTCCTTTGGGTCTTCCTGTTTTGGCTTCATGTGTCTAACCCCTTCCTAAACCCTCCAACCATTTTAATCTAGGGTCTTAACTTGGATGGTGTTTGTCCCACAACAAAATGGTAGACCCCAAATAAAGTTCCAATATTTCAACGTACCCTTAGGGAAGATACTATTTTATTTGTTTTTATGCCGCAGATTACAGCAATTACTTAAGTCTTTTATAAACTAAAATATTATTATTTCTGTAATGAATAAAATATCTCAGAGATTTGTGTAAAACAATCACCAGACTCATGGGTCAGAGGGAAGCTTTAAGAGTTGGTGGATGTCCCTCACAAACTTCGCCCCGCTATGGGAGGCTCAAGCGCTATCTTCCTTGAAAACAAACAGCTTGCTTTTGTAAATAACTCACTTATGTGATACAATATGCAGGGTTCTATATTTTCCATTAATTATTTATATTAAATTGCGTCTATTGGCTATTATTAATATAAGTATCTTGATAAAATCAATAATAACCCGCAAATCTCTTCGTGTGGGTCGCGGGTCGCAAGATGCAGACGATATATGTCTAGGTGCACATATGATTAATTTTTTAACGTTTATCCTCTGAATTCGTATTATCAAGGTATTCAGAAAAGATAAACTACTTTTTTATTTGAAGAAGCATAAAAGTAATAAATTAATAATCATTATATTCGAGTTGTGTTGTTAAGAGAATGGCGCCAAATGCAGTTGCCAACGAGGGCCAGGAGGCATCACCCGCCGCGCCGGGCGGCAAAAAGGAAACAAAAAGACGGTTGGTACCCGGGAAATGTGCAACGGTGCACAAAGGACAATTTTGCTGTATTCTACAAATCGTGCATCAGCTGCAATATAACACAGTACTTAGAATATTGACGTATGCTGATTAACATGGTTCTAGGCTACAATGTTTCGGTTAAGCTTATACCATCTGTAACTAAAAAAAGTCAAGCTATATCGGAATTTTTTAAATAAATGCTACATGTAAGCAACGAGAGGTTACAAAATTAGTATATTATGTTACAACGAACTACTAATATGAAAAAAAATACTATAGCTTAGACATTTTACTTTACGGAATAAAATCATAGGAAAACTAACAAAGACGGTGTACTTTAAAAATATGAAGTATCAAAATGTAATATTAGATGATAAACCGCATAGAATGGCTCGATCTAAAGCTTGACAGAATTCTTCACAATAAACGTGTATCGTTACGTAACATCAAGGTGACTAATGCACAGGCCGATGTTAGAATTATGTAACGATCTATGAAAAACCTGAGTTTGAAATAATCTAATTATGTCCGTGATACATTAATAATTCATTTATACACGTACATGAATAATTGGGAGATGTGGCGAAGAGTTAAAGTACAGTAAACTATAATATGTCAAAACCTTTTAACTGTTGATTCTCGGGTGACTGAGCTACACGCTGGTTCTGAAAGACCTTAGGCACCTTAACTCAATAGAATATCATATCACAGCATCACCATGGAAGCGTATCTGTCTTAATATTAATTTGCTAGAGAGTAGTGTATTTTCAATCCTGGAATACATGAGGAAAGACCTTACTGTAGTTGTTAAGGCCAAGTAATGCATTACACGATAACATAAACAAACACGCCAGCTTCAGGATCTTGATTACCTGGGGATTTGGGGGTAATCGCTTCTCTCCGATAAAGATAATAAAAGTAGATAAATCAGAAAACTCGAGCAAGATCGTATCATAACAAAGGGTGGATCGACATTGTGTTTGAGCTGGTATCATTTCGTATAACTTAAAGTTCATTCACAAAAATAATCAGACAAGAGAAGAAATATGTCTCTTCTGTCTCAGCTGACCTGTGATGTCATTACCCAACTCACCCCTTGTTGGTGTGATGAAGTTTTGTGTGTGAGGGTACAGAGGTAAGAACACTTTAGGCTTACGGGTGATATAAAACCTGCCTCAGTTGCCGAGAAAAAGACTCACTAATACACACTCATTAAAGACGCAGACACACACACACTGCGGTTGTACAATATGTCTTCATAGTTTTACAATATGTGCTAATTCACCAACATGTAAATCAATAACATCTTATTTTCTGAACGACGTACACGACCCTTTTCATTAACCTATTTACTCAGCAGTTTAAAGGTTACTCCGAACTTCAAAGGAATCCTCAGTCTAATAGTCATGTAGGATGTTAACTAGAAATTCCTCTCGTGAACAAATTAGTAGCGAGTTACAGTGAATTCAAGTATCAGAAAAATAATAGCAAATGTAGTTATCATGTATGGGGAGGGTATAGCTCCTCCTACTGAACCTATGCACTCGAAGGGTTGCTGGTGTGTTATCCAGGTTGGATGTGAGTAAGGCGAATGGACCGGACGGAATACCCCCTCGTGTTCTGAGGTAGTGTGCTGAAGTTCTGGCCCCTGTGCTTGCTCGCCTCCTTCGCCTTTGTCTCAAAACCCAAACTTTTCCTTCTTCTTGGAAGCATGCCTTGGTTCAGCCCATCCCAAAGAAGGGCGACCATTCTAATCCCTCTAACTAACGCCCCATTGCCCTAACTTCATCCCTCTCTAAGATTTTCGAAACTATCTTGAACTCCCATTTTCTCCGTCATCTTGAACGTTATTCTCTTTTGTCGGATCACCAGTATGGCTTTCGCCAGGCGAGATCTATTGGTGATCTGCTCTCCTATTGCACCCATCTTTCGTCATCCTCTCTAGGGGATTATGGGGAACTTTCGTCTTGGCCCTCGACATCTCCAAAGCATTTGACAGGGTATGGCAAAAGTCTTTGCTTTCTAAACTTCCCTCTTATGGTTTCTCTCCCCTACTTTGTTCTCTAGTCTCTAGCTTCCTTGAGAACCGATCCATGGCAGTTGTTGTCGAGGGATCGACCTCTCGCTTTCTCTACCAACAGTGGAGTCCCACAGGGTTCTGTTCTTTCATCTACTCTCTTCTTTTTATCAATGATTTACTTCACACTCCAACTAATTCTATCCATTCTTACGCTGATGATTTTACTCTTCACTCTTCTTCACATTTTCCCCTTCCCCCTAATTCTAAAACTAGATCTATTTCTAGAGCTGATGTCATTACATCTATCAATGCGGATCTGTGCAGCATCTCCGAATGGGGAGGTAGAAACTTGGTTAAATTCAATAGTAATAAAACTCAATATTTACCAATTACACTTTCCAAGTTAGATGATCTCCCACCAATCACATTTCAGGACGCTATCATTCTGCCAAATTCTAAAACAGATATGCTAGGCTCCACCATTTCCTCTAATATGTCATGGAAGCCACACATCCTCAACATTGCTAAAGCTGCCTTCCGAAAGCTGGGAATGCTGTACAGATGCCGTAGATACTTCACTCCTGTTAGATTGGGTGGAATCAAAGGCATTTCAGCTCTTACAGTTTTCTATATTTGTGACTTATTTAACGTGAGGCTGTACCTATAGTGTGGAGGACATCCACAAGCTCCAGATATGGACAATCGACTGAATATCCTGAGGTTTTTATAAATTATTATTGAATCACCCCTTACCCGTCAATTTTGCAGACCGAATTCAGGACGAAGCCGAACCCACACATTAAGAGAGTCATGAAACCGAAACCCAAGCCAAGGCTTTTCAATGCTTCACCAAACCTTAACACCATTATTACCTTATATTGATGGGAATATGTATGGTATTCTAAGTTGCAGCAAGGCTTTGAGATGAGCTGACTTTATTTTAAGGATGACACAATCTCAGCACTTGATACCGAAGTTACGTCGACGTGAACTGGAGTCGTAGGAAACGCTCAGGGAGACAGTGCTGGTGGACGCGCATGCCCGATACTTACCAACAGTGCGTAACAGAGACGTGACCGACCACCCAAGTGACTAACAGGCCTACCAATGGCGAAGAAGCTAAAATTAAGTAATGATCACATATATAAAAAGCCTACTATACTTAAGTTTCCCTTCGAATGAATAGGAAAAATAGTTTTCATTGATAATAACTTTAAGAAAATGTAAGTTATCGATGCAAAACTACTTTAGATAATCAATATTGTCAACTGCGTCACACTGATATCATACGACTAGACCGGCGACTTAATGTAATAGTTGAATTGAATTGAATTGAAACAGTTTATTTCGCCAGAAAAACACCGATACAGAGTGGATAATAATAACAATATTAACATGGCTGAGCCAGTTGAGAAACAGCTCTCTTGTTGGCACCTGATATATGCTATACATTTATCTCAAGGAAGTATTGTGTAACATTTAGTATCATCTGGAATAGTACAATAGCATGGTGGTAATAAGGACATCTCATAATGTTACGGCGGCACTTTTGGGTCTGCTCATCACCCATATCTGCAGCTACTGGAGACGTTAATCCATCCCTGTGTATCGGCGGCAAGTTAATCTTGTCGTGTCTGACCTAACACCTGACCCACATCATCACGGCCACGTCATGAGCTACACCCTTGCTATGCGCCCCACCCCCTCCCCGCCACACACACAACCTGTAACCTGTTGAGGATTAAGGAAACAACTTCAAACAAGTACGCCAGTGAGCTCATGTGGTGTGGGTCAGGTGTTAGGTCAGACACGACGAGGATTAACTTGCCGCCGATACAAAGGGAAGGATTAACGTCTCCAGTAGCTGCAAAACCATGCAGTCTCGGGTCATATCAGTTCATGTACAGCCGACCAATCCACCAGTTACAAGCAATTCACTTCAGTTCTGCACAAGTCTCCATCGTGACAAGACGAGGGGAGGCTAGACGACTTTTAAGTTCTCTTGTGTTTAATATATATATATATATATATATATATATATATATATATATATATATATATATATATATATATATATATATATATATATATATATATATATATATATATATATATATATATATAAGAGTGAGTCACTGTGCAATATGTATTTTTTGTGGGGGCACGGGGGTGGCAACCTGGCATAAGGCCGCCCCGGGCGGCACACACTCTAGCTACGCCACTGAATACTCAGTAAGTTTATTGTTTTTATGCTGTTTTATAATACGTATTTCTTATGCAGGTGCATCCGAAAATTGTTTTAAATATATATTTTTTAAGAAACACGCGGAACACCGCATATTATTGGTTGTTGTAAACATGACTGTGAAAGGACATCTGATTGGTGGAAATTCTCTCTCCCCTGGGCGAATAGCCATTCCGTACATTATATCGCGAAACACATTTGAAGGAGGTACAGTATTACTGTACAGAAGTCCTTGACGTATCAGCGTGACGATAGTACTCAAGTACAGCAGATCGTCGCACGACCAGACCAGCCTATACGTGATACCTGATGAAGCACGTACACGTCTTCACCTCAATCACCTCTCAGGTCCCAAGATGGTGTTTGATAGTGGTACTCTTGTAATGGTCAGAATGTGCAAGTGTTTTTATTTAAAGTTTCTATGTTGTTTCTGTTTTGTATACAACCTTTATACAGTATTGTCGGTCAGCCAGGGGTTGTTTGTTTGAGATGGTTGTCTATTTAATCCCTTGTGTAAGGGTTCCCTTCAGAGCTGAATAAAATCGTCTGGTGTTGTCTAAATAAAATATTACAAATAGCGTCCCCGTAGTGAAGATGTTAGGGTGATAGTCTATTAACATCCTCTCACAAGAATTCAATTTTAAAAACAACGCGAAAGAAGAAAACTGTCAATAATCTTATAGGAATAAATGTTATAAATTTTTTCTGTGTTTATCTCTCTTGTGTACACGTGTCTTTATGGGTGTGTCGGAGTGTGTACCGAGTGAATTTTGTAAATGGTTTTGAAGATGTTTACATGTGCTATGGGACCAACAATTTAGTGTATATTCATTATGCCAGTCGTCTATTTTCTTCGGTGGTGCAGTAATTATTAGGTCAATTTTTACCTGTGCTGGTCGGTACTGGTGTGTTCTAGACAAACACACGCCGGCTGGGTTTTCCTTACATGTTAATTTTTCCTCCATATTTGGGGTTCCATATCTAATTCAGTTGTCATATTTCATGTAGTGTAATGTATAACGAAACACTTTTCATGTGTAGATCAGGGAGATAATGATATATTTTGTGTGAACGGCAGGGGCAGTATACCAGCCACAATATCCAGGACGTAAGGTAAATTTTTATTGTATTCTTCCATATGATTTATTGTGATTAAAGTATTGTTATAAGCATGATTATTATTGTGCCTATAGTGTTAATGATTTAAGACTAACGGGAGGAAAATATAACCGGAGAATTATTGCTGGTTTTGTGTGCCAGTGCCAATGCCAGTGAACAAAGCCGCAAAAAATATAAACAAGTACGTTTTAGCCTGAAGTTGAAGTCAATCAAAAGAGTTTATAATCTAAAGATTAGACACCCCGGCTTATTTTACCTGAGGCGGGTTCAGTTAGGTGTGCTCATGGACTCTGTATTCACTTGTCAGTAAATCAAGCTTATTAATTCATATTTAAACACAACGAATAAGCAAACACCAAACTCCCAGAATAATTTCCTGACAAACTTTTCATGAAATAATTAGTGATAAACGTAAGGAAAACAACCCTCATGATAAGTGAGGCCTATTACATAATTTACTTTAAGTCTAGATTAATCCCACTGGCATCCTCACGTGACCTGTTACCATGTGTGTGTGTGTGTGTGTGTGTGTGTGTGTGTGTCAAATAAGATAACGGGTAGACTATAAAGAACGGCTGTTCACTGTGAGGTACATCAGTGTATGGGAGCTGACACGAGGTGCGCTACAACCGTCTTTTACATATCCAGTAAAATATAGTAAGTATTGTAGTGGATATTGGTTTTCTTTGAACATATTTACTTTATAATGTTATGGTAACAATATTATGTGAGGGTTTTAAGTTACGTAAACTATCCAAGCACTTCATACAGTCTAAATGAACAACGATATTGGATATTTATCTTTACTTTCAGAGCAACAACATGGCCGCTCTTGCATCCCGTTCTCTGCCTCGTCTCCTCACGTCTCTCCGCACCACCACCACCCTCCGCCCACACGCCCGTACACCCACTACCAGGACCATCATCAGTTACCAGGGACTCCAAGGTCTTGGCCAACCACAAAAGGTAAACTATCATAGTCTAATATAGTTAAAGAAAGCAAAATGTTGTGATCCCTACACCCAATGATTGTCGTGTCTTATGGTGTGTTTCTGAAAATGTATCATCATTACCTAACGTTTGCATTCCTTTCAGACGGTTGAAATGGAAATACATGAAGAAGTGGAGGAGGACGAGAGGACGAGTCTCCACCTTGAGGCTCTCCAGAGGTGGCAGGACGAAGCGCAACGACTGAGGGAGCTCAAGATCTTGCCTGAGAACCTCGCTAGCGGAGCCCAAGTCGACTCCAGCCCATGCGAGGTCGTCAGGGATCTACTGGAAACTTTAATAGATGAAGACCTGATTGATCCTCGCAGGAGCTGGGTGGCCAAGACCGACTACTGATATCCCAGTGAGGAGAATCTCTGTATCTCTCTGGTGTTGATGTATTATGTCTGATCCGTGTTTCTATGACAAGGGACACACTCATCCTGCTTTATAAACATTTTTGTTTGTCTTAAGGTTTGTTTCTGTGAAGTAATATCTACATTTTCTTTGAGATTTATCACGAATTGTGACCTAATGACATAACCAAGTGCACGTGGTATCTACTAAAACAAAAATGTTCTAATGTGACTTGTAAGAAGTGAAAAGATACATGGTATTATTTGATTATCTATAAAATTGACACAAGATCCTTATAATTATTTTTCCTAATGCCTTCAAGTCAGTGAGATGAATAGAAAAAATCAAACAATAATTAAAACAAAAGAAGTAAAAAGTTGTGCCAAGTACGTTATGTTTCTCAGTCTGTTTATGTCTCCGCCAATGAGAGACGTGAACAACTATAATGACAAGGGTTAAAGCTTACAGGTAATTAAGTTTGTGATTATTTTAGTCTACTTGAAGATGGTTACAGTAAATGGATTTAATAGATGGTAACAATTTATCCCGTTTTTTGGGGTGGAGGGGGGGGTTCTTCCTTCGCTGTAAGAATGACTGACTGAGAGGTGATGGCCAAGAATGACTGACTGAGAGGTGATGGCCTAACTAACTTAACTAACAACATGTAAACAGGATTTAACTTCGAGATATAAAAGATGAATTTACTCCCACATTTACCTCATGTAAAAACACAACATAAATACATACTACCTCGATGCCCGCTGCTTCATGAGAGTTATCATATTCAGTTTTTTTTTAGACTGTCTTTAACTTAACCTCCCGGGCTTTGTATATCACTGGACACAGAGTTCAAAATCTAATTCTTTACTCCTAATCGCTGGCGCCCTTGTTCCTTATGCCTTTTATGTTGTTTATTTCTTGTATCTATAATGTTATCCAATCTTCCCCAATTATGGATCACCTGAAGATAAGCCCCAATATATTTCACCTTAAGATTAAAACACCACAATGCTACCTGAGGGGTTAGGTTAGGTTAGGTTACATTGATTAATATTAAGGCAAAAGAAGGTGGGGGCGGTAATCTTCAGGTGATCCATCAAAAATACTAAGACACGTTTGGAATACTGTCTGGTCTCCAAGATATGTTAAAGACTGTAAGTTGATGGAAAATGTTCAAAGGAGTGCCACCAGACTGGTGCTTGCAAAACGGCACCACAGTTACCCAGAAAGATTAAAGTGTCGGCAGTTGCCTAGCTTATACTATAGACGGGCAATGGATCACTTAATACAAGTCTGTAAACATCTCAGAAGGCACTTCTTATTCGAGTGACCATACCCGGAGTTAGCGGATGCCCGCCCCACTAGAGGTCACAGCTCAAGGTTGAAGGAGCCACAAGTTCAGAAAATTATCAGAGCAAACTTTTTCGGAGTAAGGACCAGACTTGACCAACACGTGCCCAGTATATGTTAACAATGCGTAACAGAGACGTGACTGACCACCCAAGCGGCTAACAGGCCGATCAGTGACGAAGAGGATAAAGTAAAGTAAAGAAGTGAGCTGTAGTGATAGTAAGTCACACGCTCGGTAACTATAAACCTATGGTCAGTGATCATGATATATCCCGTTTTAACTAAGGCACACTCTACCTATTTATTTACACAAGGCAAATTTACAATCTGTATAATGAAATTAGTAGTTTTATACCAAGCGTTCTTCTCCCAACCTCACCACCCAAACACTTTACGCTCGTTATTTTACCACAGACCTGCCGGAACAGATATAACACATCTGTCTTGGCGACCAAACAAATACACTGCATCAACACACAGAGATAATTACGTATTACATTGTATAGTTTTTCATTGTTGTCTTCTGCAAATGTTAACAACTTCTGGTGATTTTGTTTATATCTTAGCTTTGATTTTACTTCATGGCTGGACAACATAAGATAAAGAACAGGTAAAAATACTCGTCTTTTTTTAATTAGGTCTTACTTACAAAACAAATAACATCTTGCTTTTAAATACAGTTAGAAGATACAGATACAAGTACAGTTACAGCATCAATACTCTAATAACCTAAACTAATTACCAAATAGTACAAAATAATAATCTTTGCAGTAACATTTTTAAGGGAAGTGAGTAAGTCCTTAGTTTGGTATAGACTCTGATTAGCTAACTACCATAACTACCCGATGACCTCTTTACCTCCCGCTCATGATACTGAGGTTATCGCCCTCCCTCCCCTAAGTCAGTGATATTAGGCCAAAAGTGAAGGAGATGAGGTGCTCGTCTGATGATTTTAGGTCACATCATAATCACTCAATTTTTATTGACCTCTGCCTTTACCTACTTGACCTACAATAACCTATACTTTGGTTAACAGTACACTGAGCCATTTCGACCTACCTAGACCTATTCACTCCCTCCTTCCTATAAATACACGTCTCAAAGCATCACCCATGGAAACTTGCGTCATTCCACCACAAGATTTTTTTTTTACGGACATTAGCCCACCCGGACACAGGTCACTGACCCACATCGGGGCCTGGGGGGCGAAAATAAAAATAATAATAATAATAATAATAATAATAATAATAATAATAATAATAATAATTTAAAGTAAATAAAATTTATAAAAAAATACAAAATTTAAAATGAAATATTAAATTAATACTAATAATAATAATAATAATAATAATAATAATAATAATAATAATATTAATAATAATAATAATAAAGAAATGCAAACATGAAAATAAAAGATAAAAAGTGAGAAACAATATATGTATGTTGTGTTCTGAAAATAAGAGAAACAATTGAGACCCTGCAATTGTGTGTAAATGAGGCAGAAAGTCAGATCCCCAACCTGGGACTTGGTCAATTTTTGTGATGCCATATGGCAGCAGGGTCTACCATTAGACAACACATTATGCTTCCAAAATGTTCCCAAGCGGTAGTACCTCCCTGTTTGGTAGTTACCTACTACCTAGTACCCATGAAGAAATTATGCATATGTTTTTCCTCTATGGTGTAAGTATCAATGAGTCGATAAGGTCTTTATGATATGCGAAGGGAGCTAAAGGTGACAGATCTTAGAGTACCTATTGGATAATGCGGGTAAACTGGGAATTTGTTCAGTATTTTGCGACACCAGGAGCATAAGGGAGGTATGACTCAAGGAAGATACGACACTTTCTTATCTTAAGACACTATAACGTAGGGGATGACTGTCGTACCGGGAAGATGTGAAGCTTTGTGTGACAGATCCTGGTACGACGGAAAAAGACACATTTGTTTATTAATATTGTTGTTATTGTAGTTATTATTATTATTATTATTATTATTATTATTAGAAGTGTTCGTGTTATAGGTGGCAGACTAAGATAGACTAAGGCAGGTCAACTTAATTAAATTGTAGGTCAAGGTAAGTCGAGATAGTTTCATACAAGTTAAGATAGTTCAGTGGAGGTCAAAGTAGGTCAGGAGAGGTTAGCGTTAGGGTAAGTCAAGGTAGGTCAGAGTAAGCTAGGGTAATTCAAGATAGGTTAAAGTAACTCAAGGCAGGTCAAAGTAGGTCAGAGTAAATCAAAGCGGGTCAAAATAGGTCAGGGTAAAATAAATAATACATTTTATATGTAAAATCAATGGAAACAACTACCTACCACTACAACCTAACCTAACCTAGCTTAACCTAACCTACCACTACAACCTAACCTAACCTACCACTACAACTTAGATGTGGTGTAGGGAGGTGAAGAACCCACTTGTACTCTGTCTGAAATATAAACACAACTCATCTTCTATAAGTGATAAGGGTCCCCTATTTGATCCCCTTACCCACGTGTGTGTGTGTGTGTGTGTGTGCGTGTGTGTGTGTGTATGTGTGTGTGTGTGTGTGTTTATTTATCATTATCAGTACATCTCGTTGTTTTCTCGAATATTATTATTTTTTCAGTAAACAGTTCGTTAGTCAATCATTATCGTCCAATTGATTGCACTGTCGCTATGTCAGACGAAAAGACACTTTCTTGATAAAACTAATGATAAAAATGACTAAAAATAATCTCTCTTCATACCACAATTTTACTCTCTATATCAGTGTTACCGCCCCAATCAACAGGTCACTCTGAACATGCGTGACCCTGAGTAAGAGTACCAGGCCCTTCACCTTTAGTTGGCAGCACATATAGTATTCCTCTCCGTCCTTCCCTACCTACCTACCTACCTCCCTCCTTCCTTCCCTCTCTCCTTCCCTATACCTACCTCCCTCTCTACTCCTTCAGAATTACCCTAGTCTCCCCCCTACCCCCTTTCCTTCCCTACTCCATAGCTCCTTGACGCTACTTGACGACCTCAACATGCGTCACTCACCGTCACCATAACCTTCCCAAATCGTAATATTATCTCCTTCAATTATATGTCTATCACCTTATATAACGCCTCACTACACCTATGCAGTCATCCTCAGTCCTCACCTCACACGTCACTACACCTATGCAGTCATCCTCAGTCCTCACCTCACACGTCACAACACCTATGCAGTAGGGTGACAATAGTGCATAGGGGTGAATTTCTAAAATTGATTAAATGGAATGGCCATTGGTCCAATACTGCGTACCCATGAAAAAAGAACACAGGCGAAATCCTGGGTCATTTGGACAATATTTAGAGGTAGCTCAAGTCAATTGAAGTTTTATCCTTTTGGCAAAAAATACGAATATTCATAATATGCCGGTTTATTTTAAAATTTACATATTGAGCAAGTTTATGTGTACACTGTACATATAAATGATTAATTCCTTTTTAAAATGAAACTGCAGTGAACACGCTTACATCAATGGGTGGGAGAGGTGTGGACAACCCATTCATTGTTTTCGCTTTTTGCTTGTAAGGTCCTGTTTTGATGTCCCTGGTTGTGACCGCCTCTGCTCTTCAACAACCTGCAGCAGATGTTGACGCTGGTCTTCACTCTTCGTGATCTTGCTGTTGAATGCCTGTATCAAGGCAATCCCTCTCTCTGCAGTGTCGTTGATGACTCTGAGACCACCCACAACTGCGACGCCAGTTTTGAAGTCTTCATCATCAGACCATGTGTCAGGTTCCTTGGACAAAAAAGAAGTCTTCATTTTGAGACTTTCAAATAGAAAGTTTGATCCTCTAGAAGCAAAGTCTGAGAGCTGCTTTGTGGGAAGGGAAGATGTGGCAGGAAGAGCAGCACGTTTTGGTGAATCCTCGGTCGCCTTCCTCTCAACGATTGCCCGAACTATGTTTGTCTTCATTGTTGCAT